GATATTATGGCAATATTTATATGAATTTTCTTCCGTATAATCCTCGGTATATTAGTTACCTTTCAATAACTTAACGGCTATTTTAAGATGAAATTGAAAAATCGTATGGCGACGTATTAGGATGCATGATGCTGTTCGATTCATTATTTAGCTCTACTGTATGAAATACCTATTCCAATTAAAAGGTGTTATTCACTGGTGTGTTACTTATACATTCTTTGGATGCGGAAATATAGCAGAATACCCAACAGCCGAAATGAAAATGACAAGTACAGATTGGAAATTATCTAAAGTTATACAATTTAAGAATGCATAAGTAGTTTTAATGATTTTTTCCTTTTGACAGTCCTTCATCATTTAGATTGCCTAATCTGAAAAACTGAGATTTAAGAGAAAAAATATGTTTAGAATTAAGTACTATTAATGAAAAAATTAAAGAAAATACCACCATGTCAAGGTAGGATATTAAAGTATAATAGCCAACAGCGTGGCATTGATTTCCAGAATAATGGAAAATATGTTTTTCATATAGTATATTTTCAGAGACCAGTTTCAGGAATTATTATATTGAATTTAAATATATATATAATCTCATATATGTTTGCATTAGTACACAGATAGATATATGTTTAAAATATAAACTGATGCATTGAATGTTTAAACAATAATTGTTGAAATCTTTTTACTCAGGAATTCCACTGCTTTGCCTTCAATTGACAACATGTGTAACGGTATTTTAATTACGTCGCCGGCTTTTGTAATATATTCGATTTTTTCCACAAGTCTACATAACTTCAAGAACACGTGTACCTGACCGACATACCGTCTCTCCAGGAACTGCCCATTGCTAAGGTTTTGCTGTTTATTAATAACTATTAAGACTTATATAAACTTGCATAGCATGTCATGAAGTCGTCATAAATAGCGTAAAAAATAGCATTATACGGAGGATCATATCTAAGTGAATGCTATTTTAGTTCCATAGTTCAACATAAACAGGCTGTTAAAATTGACAAAAAAACAGGATTGACATGACAGAAATGAGCTGAGAATTGAGAGGAAACACACATAACATCATAGGAATTTAAGTATTGCTCATAAAATTCATTAAGAAAGGTATGTAACAAATCTGAAACATCACCATCGTAAATATTGCATGTTTTAACATCATCAATCTTTATACATACTATGCTTACGTTGTTACATATCTGAAATTTATTGGGAATGTTAGAAACGTGAGAGCTACAATCATCCGCTGTATACAAAACTCGTACACAAACCTTTCTGTTTCTTTTCAAATCTGACAGAACATGATATTCCCTTATACACAGATTTTGAAACATTAAACTAATTACAGTTTATATCGTACAATGAAAATAAAAAAGTGAAGTAAAATGAAAAAACAAAAAGTTGACATTGTTATATAGTAGATGTACAATGTATACACAGTTTCGTACTTCATGGAAATATGAAGTTAATCCAGAAACCACGACTTGTTAGACAAGCATTCACCTAGTGTGACAGGTATAACAATCAGTGTGACAGTTCAGGTATAACACCTTGTGTGACAATTCTAGCATAACACCCAGTGTGACAGTTCAGGTTTAACACCTTGTGTGACAGTTCAGGTATAACACCTAGTGTGACAGTTCAGGTATAACACCCAGTTTGACAGTACAGGTATAACACCTTGTGTGACAGTTCAGGTATAACACATAGTGTGACAGAACAGGTATAACACCCAGTTTGACAGTACAGGTATAACACCCAGTGTGACAGTTCAGGTATAACACCTAGTGTGACAGTACAGGTATAACACCTTGTGTGACAATTCTAGCATAACACCCAGTGTGACAGTTCAGGTATAACACCTTGTGTGACAGTTCAGGTATAACACCTAGTGTGACAGTTCAGGTATAACACCTAGTGTGACAGTTCAGGTATAACACCTAGTGTGACAATACAGGTATAACACCTAGTGTGACAGTACAGGTATAACACCCAGTGTGACAGTACAGGTATAACACCTTGTGTGACAGTTCAGGTATAACACATAGTGTGACAGAACAGGTATAACACCCAGTTTGACAGTACAGGTATAACACCCAGTGTGACAGTTCAGGTATAACACCTAGTGTGACAGTACAGGTATAACACCTAGTGTGACAGTACAGGTATAACACCCAGTGTGACAGTACAGGTATAACACCTAGTATTTCAGTACAGGTATAACAATCAGTGTGACAGTTCAGGTATAACACCTTTTGTTACAGTTCAGGTATAACACCTAGTGTGACATTTCAGGTATAACACCTTGTGTGACAGTTCAGGTATAACACCTAGTGTGACAGTACAGGTATAACAATCAGTGTGACAGTACAGGTATAACACCTTGTGTGACAGTTCAGGTATAACACATAGTGTGACAGTTTAGGTATAACACCCAGTGTGACAGTTCAGGTATAACACCTAGTGTGACAGTTCAGGTTAAACGCCTTGTGTGACAATTTATGTTTAACACCTAGTGTGACAGTTCAGGTATAACACCTAGTGTGACAGTTCAGGTATAACACATAGGGTGACAGTTCAGGTATAACACAAAGTATGACAGTTCAGGTATAACACCTAGTGTGACAGTTCAGGTATAACACCTAGTGTGACAGTTCATGTATAACACCTTGTGTGACAGTTCAGGTATAACACCTAGTGTGACAGTTCATGTATAACACCTTGTGTGACAATTCAGGTATAACACCTAGTGTGACAGTTCAGGTATAACACCTTGTGTGACAGTTCAGGTATAACACATAGGGTGACAGTTCAGGTATAACACCTTGTGTGACAGTTCAGGTATAACACCTACTTTGACAATTCAGGTATAACACCTAGTGTGACATTTCAGGTATAACACCTAGTGTAACAGTTCAGGTATAACACATTGTATGACAATTCAGGTTTAACGCCTTTTTTTATAAATATGTCAGCCTGTTCCTTGATCTTGGAAAAAAATGGCTATTTGGGTGAAAATATTATAAGCATTCTCCCTCTTTTTTAATATAAAGAATTTAAGTCGCTTTGTAACATTTTCATTTTTTGGTGGCTATGTATTTTCAAATTATTTTTTCTTAATATCCAAATATCATACCTTTACCTTGTAAGGGAAATGGAACATTAATTTTAAAACAAAATGCTGCGCACACAACAGAACATTTCTACTGTCTGGAATAAAATCACAATAATATGTGGTAAAAAACTGTTTCCTGTTAAACAGCGTGACTCTGTCACCTATACCGGTAAAAAGTAGTGCCCTGTTACACAGCGTGACTCTGTCACCCATACCAGTAAAAAGTAGTGCCCTGTTACACAGCGTGACTCTGTCACCCATACCAGTAAAAAGTAGTGCCCTGTTACACAGCGTTACTCTGTCACCTATACCGATAAAAAGTAGTGCCCTGTTACACAGCTTGACTCTGTCACCTATACCGGTAAAAAGTAGTGCCCTGTTACACAGCGTGACTCTGACACCTATACCGGTAAAAAGTAGTGCCCTGTTACACAGCGTTACTCTGACACCTATACCGGTAAAAAGTAGTGCCCTGTTACACAGCGTTACTCTGATACCCTTACCGTTAAAACGTAGTGCCCTGTTAAACAGCGTTACTCTGACACCTATACCGGTAAAAAGTAGTGCCCTGTTACATAGCGTGACTCTGTCACCTATACCGGTAAAAAGTAGTGCCCTGTTACAAAGCGTTACTCTGACACCCTTACCGGTAAAAAGTAGTGCCCTGTTACACAGCGTTACTCTGACACCTTTACCGGAAAAAGTAGTGCGGCAACATATTGATTTTTCTACTTTCTGAAATCAAACCTTTCACTTTTTTCTTCTTAGAGTAGCGCATCCTTAAATTTACTTCACAAGGAGCAGTTTTGTCTCCACGATGTTGTCGATATTATGCCAGAAAGCTGATTTTGGTTACCTAATAGATGACGTAGAACCATGTTCCAGCTGTCGAGAAAGACACATCAGGGTTGTCTGTCTAACTTAAAGGGAAGTATTGCTCGTCTTGTTCACATTCGAGAACATGACACCAATCTCTTGCATTGACAAAGAAGATGAAGGCGCTTACTCTTTCGGAACACCTGGTCTTGTTCTGCTTGTACTTTTTAATCATCTCCGTCATGGTAATATTTCTTTCATTTATATTTTGCAATCGTTTCGTCGATTTTTATTTTGAATTTCGTTTCTGCTGACACGTCAGTATTTTCATTTTTGTGTCAAAGTTACGAAAAAGTGCCAAAAATAACAAAACAAACACCTCATTTGACACTGAAGCTAAATCGTAGGAAAAATAACAGATTAGTGTATATTGTCACGTAACGCGATGATAAGATACAAACATCTTAATTATTATGTATCTGTAAACCCATTAACTGTCTATTTGAAGTAACAATGTTATATATGGACTCCACTTAACATAATTGACAGTGATCAGGTTTAATTATCTCCGTCAAATTCTCGGAAGATATTATTGTTAAAGGGCAAACGATGATCATTTTCTGAGTACGCGGGTTCAAACACGGTTCTTATATCATGATGAAATCAAGTACATTTTTTATGATTTTACTATGCACTCGATAGTGTCTATTGTTATTATAATGAATGGATTCTAGCTTCAACTACGGATTTTCTCAAAGTCATGCAAACAGTCGGTTCCCAACACAAATCGCACTTACTATTCATCAAGTCAATCACCTGTCGAATCCCAACACATATCCCCCTTACTATTTACCTAGTCCAGTCTAGTTTTCATTCAAGTCCATGATCTTATTAACACAAATTTTGGATTCCTTTATAGAATTTTTCTTTTAAAAGTAACTAGATAAAAATCAAAATTTGTTGGATTTTGAGGTGCACCTCCTGATCTGGTTTTTACATATTAATTTTGGCCAATAAGGAATATCCTAAGTTTCAACCATTTAAGTCATTAACATTACTAATGAGTACTACTGCTGACAGTTGTACTCTAGAGGATTACAGTATTGCTGCTGACAGTTGTACTGTTGAGGATGACAGTACTACTGCTGACAGTTGTACTCTAGAGGATGGCAGTACTACTGCTGACAGTTGTACTCTAGAGGATGACAGTACTACTGCTGACAGTTGTACTCTAGAGGATGACAGTACTACTGCTGACAGTTGTACTCTAGAGGATGGCAGTACTACTGCTGACAGTTGTACTCTAGAGGATGGCAGTACTACCGCTGACAGTTGTACTCTAGAGGATGGCAGTACTACTGCTGACAGTTGTACTCTAGAGGATGGCAGTATTGCTGCTGACAGTTGTACTCTAGAGGATGACAGTACAGCTTCTGACAGTTGTACTCTAGAGGATGACAGTACTACTGCTGACAGTTGTACTCTAGAGGATGACAGTACTACTGCTGACAGTTGTACTCTAGAGGATGACAGTACTACTGCTGACAGTTGTACTCTAGAGGATGACAGTACTACTGCTGACAGTTGTACTCTAGAGGATGACAGTACTACTGCTGACAGTTGTACTCTAGAGGATGACAGTACTACTGCTGACAGTTGTACTCTAGAGGATGGCAGTACTACTGCTGACAGTTGTACTCTAGAGGATGGCAGTACTACTGCTGACAGTTGTACTCTAGAGGATGACAGTACTACTGCTGACAGTTGTACTCTAGAGGATGACAGTACTACTGCTGACAGTTGTACTCTAGAGGATGACAGTACTACTGCTGACAGTTGTACTCTAGAGGATGACAGTACTACTGCTGACAGTTGTACTCTAGAGGATGACAGTACTACTGCTGACAGTTGTACTCTAGAGGATGACAGTACTACTGCTGACAGTTGTACTCTAGAGGATGACAGTACTGCTGACAGTTGTACTCTAGAGGATTGCTGACAGTTGTACTCTAGAGGATGACAGTACTACTGCTGACAGTTCTACTCTAGATGACAGTACTACTGCTGACAGTTGTACTCTAGAGGATGGCAGTACTACTGCTGACAGTTGTACTCTAGAGGATGACAGTACTACTGCTGACAGTTGTACTCTAGAGGATGACAGTACTACTGCTGACAGTTGTACTCTAGAGGATGACAGTACTACTGCTGACAGTTGTACTCTAGAGGATGACAGTACTACTGCTGACAGTTGTACTCTAGAGGATGACAGTACTACTGCTGACAGTTGTACTCTAGAGGATGACAGTACTACTGCTGACAGTTGTACTCTAGAGGATGACAGTACTACTGCTGACAGTTGTACTCTAGAGGATGACAGTACTACTGCTGACAGTTGTACTCTAGAGGATGACAGTACTACTGCTGACAGTTGTACTCTAGAGGATGACAGTACTACTGCTGACAGTTGTACTCTAGAGGATGACAGTACTACTGCTGACAGTTGTACTCTAGAGGATGACAGTACTACTGCTGACAGTTGTACTCTAGAGGATTACAGTACTACTGCTGACAGTTGTACTCTAGAGGATTACAGTACTACTGCTGACAGTTGTACTCAAGAGGATTACAGTACTACTGCTGACAGTTGTACTCTAGAGGATTACAGTACTACTGCTGACAGTTGTACTCTAGAGGATGACAGTACTACTGCTGACAGTTGTACTCTAGAGGATGTCAGTACTGCTGCTGACAGTTGTACTCTAGAGGATGACAGTACTACTGCTGACAGTTGTACTCTAGAGGATGGCAGTACTACCACTGACAGTTGTACTCTACTACCACTGACAGTTGTACTCTAGCGGATGACAGTACTACTGCTGACAGTTGTACTCTAGAGGATGACAGTACTACTGCTGACAGTTGTACTCTAGAGGATTACAGTACTACTGCTGACAGTTGTACTCTAGAGGATGACAGTACTACTGCTGACAGTTGTACTCTAGAGGATGACAGTACTACTGCTGACAGTTGTACTCTAGAGGATGACAGTACTACTGCTGACAGTTGTACTCTAGAGGATGGCAGTACTACCACTGACAGTTGTACTCTAGAGGATGACAGTACTACTGCTGACAGTTGTACTCTAGAGGATGGCAGTACTACTGCTGACAGTTGTACTCTAGAGGATGACAGTACTACTGCTGACAGTTGTACTCTAGAGGATGGCAGTACTACTGCTGACAGTTGTACTGACAGTTGTTGAGGATGACAGTACTACTGCTGACAGTTGTACTCTAGAGGATGACAGTACTACTGCTGACAGTTGTACTCTAGAGGATGGCAGTACTACTGCTGACAGTTGTACTCTAGAGGATGACAGTACTACTGCTGACAGTTGTACTCTAGAGGATGACAGTACTACTGCTGACAGTTGTACTCTAGAGGATGACAGTACTACTGCTGACAGTTGTACTCTAGAGGATGACAGTACTACTGCTGACAGTTGTACTCTAGAGGATGACAGTACTACTGCTGACAGTTGTACTCTAGAGGATGACAGTACTACTGCTGACAGTTGTACTCTAGAGGATGACAGTACTACTGCTGACAGTTGTACTCTAGAGGATGACAGTACTACTGCTGACAGTTGTACTCTAGAGGATGGCAGTACTACTGCTGACAGTTGTACTCTAGAGGATGGCAGTACTACTGCTGACAGTTGTACTCTAGAGGATGTCAGTACTACTGCTGACAGTTGTACTCTAGAGGATGGCAGTACTACTGCTGACAGTTGTACTCTAGAGGATGTCAGTACTACTGCTGACAGTTGTACTCTAGAGGATGTCAGTACTACTGCTGACAGTTGTACTCTAGAGGATGACAGTACTACTGCTGACAGTTGTACTCTAGAGGATGTCAGTATTACTGTCTTAAATCATATGAAATTAACCAAGTGTATCGTAAAAAAACACACTTTTCAATACAAATCTAAAATTCATTTTAGCCAAATAATGACTATACAGTTGTTGTGTCCTTTTATGACTTGTCAGTGAAGGAAATACAAGTAAAGAACAGACATGGTTTCTCATGACTGAAATCTTGTCGATATCATTTTTATTTTAATCAGCCAGATTGATTTTATTACTTTTTTTATTAATATTCCAGCTTCTCTATAGGAACACCACCAAATCATTAACTTTTCATGTAACAGCTACATTTAAAGTATGCATACGACGGTACGTATAATCCACGTTAGATGTTATCTGTCACTGGCAATCGGAGAGTACCGATATTTGTTGGGCAATGTTTGCCAGTGTCTAAAACAAAACGTTTAATCATTAATTACGGTTTTAGTCATGTTACCAACATAAAAAATATTTACATAACAATTAACAACAAATTTGTCACTTACAAATAACTTTGTCCAGAAAAAATGATTATTCTATTTCAGAGAAATAAATATATTGATATAGATATACATGTGCTAACCGGTTATTGAGTTAAATGGAGGAGATATTTCTCGTGTCGGTCTGCTTAAGTTCAGGAGGTAGCTGCGAAACAAGAGCGTGGCATTTGTAGGTTTGTCACAAATACCACAAGATGATAGACAATCATTGGGATGTAATGTCAACGCTTTGTACAAAGAAACTGATGACATATATTGAGTGAAAAAAATTGTATACCAACTTTTGTTTGTTTTTCATTTGCGCTCTGATTATGATACAACAGATCAATTCATCACTTGACAATAATGTATTTAATTCTTAAATATTTTTTATGGAAAAGTGCTATTCACTTACAAGTGTACTTTTGCCACTCAACTGGTGTCACTCTGTTGGTGTACCTTTGTCACATGGCTGGTGTACCTTTGTCACTCTGTTGGTGTACCTTTGTCACTCTGTTGGTGTACCTTTGTCACTCAGCTGGTGTACTATTGTCACTGTTTGTGTATCTTTGTCACTCAGCTGGTGTGTCTTTGTCACTAAGTTTAGGTGTTACATCAGTGCCACGTTTTAATTCATTTTAATATGGACAGGATTCATAACAAAAACACATACTTTATTGAATTTTGAAAGCGATCATTAGTTTAAAATTGTGAAATGCACTTCCCCAACTACATTCTGCCCATTTCTATTTTCCTCAGTTGCCCATCAGAAAATCAATCCATAGCAACATGTCGCGGCCTGCAAGGAGAAACTATATGATTCGGTTTCATTCATTGTTTGGCTAAGTTGTAATGAAAGGTTTTATTCGCGTGCGTAACTTTCTTGTAGTAATTTGTATTGCTGTTTTAGTTGAGTAGGGGTGTTAGTTAAAGATACGTAATAGTATAAATATCGTTCAGGTGACAATAAAGGGAAGTACCGAACACACGTATAACATTTCTTCTTATAATACAATGTGATCAGAACACCTCCCCGTCCCCCACCACACACAAACATTTGACGCCACTTATTGACCACCACAGTAACATGAATGCCACAGAAATCCCCCAGAGATGATATCCGATTAAATGTTCAAAGAACAACTATCCATTAAAGACCTCCTGGTACATTTACTAACCAAGCAAGCCAATCATCATAAATATCAAGACCACAAAGCCTGAACTGTAAACAGTTTATCACTAAAGTGATTACCATAACTGTTGACAAAACACCATATAATGACTAAAAAAATATGACTATAGACAATAAAACACATAATGACTAAGTCATAGATGACTATACACAATAAAACACATCATGACTAAGTCATAGATGACTATACACAATAAATGACTGTTGACAAATCATTTCATCATGACTAACAAAAAGATATCACTACTGACAAAACACCATATGATGATAAATACACAACTCTAAGACTGCTGACAAAACACCATATGATGATAAATACACAACTCTAAGACTGCTGACAAAACACCACATGATGATAAATACACAACTCTAAGACTGCTGACAAAACACCATATGATGATAAATACACAACTCTAAGACTGCTGACAAAACACCACATGATGATAAATACAAAACTTTGACTACTGACAAAACACCACATGATGATAAATACAAAATTTTGTGACGACTGACAAAACACCACATGATGATATATACAAAACTTTGACTACTGATAAAACACTACATAACGATAAATACACAACTTTAAGACTGCTGACAAAATAGCACATCCTGATAAATACAAAACCTTATGACTGCTGACAAAACACCACATAATGATAAATACAAAACTATGACTACTGACAAAATATTCATGATGATAAATACAAAATTTTGTGACGACTGACAAAATACCACATAATGATAAATACACAACTTTAACACTGCTGACAAAACACCACATGATGACTAACCAAAACATGTGCAGCGATTGCTGACGACGCGTTCAGGATCCCACAACTAATGTCCGCAGACGCCTTATCATTTTACAGGTAATAAATGAAAAATATAGTGATATAAACTGCATATCATCATAAGATATTCTAGACACATCACCGGTGGGAAGAACGAAGCCTCTCCATGACCTTTGTCCGCGTATCAAGTGTCAGGAAGAAATCACTTTGCATCAATCATAACTGTCCTTTGAATTGTCATTGCAATCATTATTAATTAGTGTATGAAAATAGATTTACTTTTAGATCCGTATCTACGTCAAAGAAAGACAAAATAAAACCACAGAAATAATGACATCGGGAAATAATATCGTTAGAATACCCGTGCATATCTAACGCTGACCTTATCAATTATCCCGATTTAGGCATGTCTCTAACCCGTCGTTAATTAGTACTAATTAAAATCTAATAAAACCTGACATTTACAACGCGTGAACAATGGACATATTCACGCCAAAGAAACTTAAAATTTACACCTATGCTAATAATTTAAGAACTGAAATGTATAAAAACGCGCAGAAATTGCATACAAGACGCAAACTTGTCAGATACAAGACGCAAGCTTGTCAGAGAATTCCAACAAGACTTTTGAAGGAAACAGGTAAGAGTTTTTTAAGTCTTTGTAAAAGAATGTATATTATTCCACTAGATAAAGAAATTTTGTTTAGCCTCTTAAACTGAAATAATAATAATAATAAAATTGCAAACACTTCTCATAAGCGCTTATATGCTTTACTAATCAGAAATGAATTTTGTTACATTTCTATACATGTATATGTACCGGACACTGTGAATTTAAACTTTCTAATATATTCTTTATAATAATTCAAATATAAAAGTTGAATTATAAGTGTCCGGTGAAATATATTAGAATAACTTAAAACAACACTGATTCAGGGATGAAAGCGCTAATGCTTAATATTCGATGTGTTGTTTTAAGTTATTCTAATATATATTTATATATATATATATGTGTGTTATTCAATATTTCACATAGAACTATATATGTATAAACGATATATATACATAATAGTATGAATAGATATACGTTATAGATACATAATAGTATAAATAGATAAACATTATAGATACATAATAGTATGAATAGATAAACGTTATAGATATATAATAGTATGAATAGATAAACGCTATAGATACACAATCGTATGAATAGATAAACGCTATAGATACACAATCGTATGAATAGATAAACATTATAGATACATAATAGTATGAATAGATAAACATTATAGATACATAATAGTATGAATAGGTAAACGTTATAGATATATAATAGTATGAATAGATAAACGCTATAGATATATAATAGTATGAATAGATAAACGCTATAGATACATAATAGTATGAATAGATAAACGTTATAGATATATAATAGTATGGATAGATAAACGCTATAGATATATAATAGTATGAATAGATAAACATTATAGATATATAGTATGAATAGATAAACATTATAGATACATAATAGTATGAATAGATAAACGCTATAGATACACAATCGTATGAATAGATAAACATTATAGATACATAATAGTATGAATAGATAAACATTATAGATACATAATAGTATGAATAGATAAACGTTATAGATATATAATAGTATGAATAGATAAACGCTATAGATATATAATAGTATGAATAGATAAACGCTATAGATACATAATAGTATGAATAGATAAACATTATAGATATATAATAGTATGAATAGATAAACGCTATAGATACACAATCGTATGAATAGATAAACGTTATAGATATATAATAGTATGAATAGATAAACGTTATAGATACATAATAGTATAAATAGATAAACATTATAGATACATAATAGTATGAATAGATAAACGCTATAGATACATAATAGTATGAATAGATAAACGCTATAGATACATAATAGTATGAATAGATAAACGTTATAGATATATAATAGTATGAATAGATAAACGCTATAGATACATAATAGTATGAATAGATAAACGTTATAGATATATAATAGTATGGATAGATAAACGCTATTTAATAGATTAATAGATATCTGCTAGAGATACTCAGATTTTGGTAGATCATCACTATAAATAGCGCTATATAGATATAATGATTTGTACAGCGTTTTTTGTAATACGGGTATACTACATTTTATTAGACTGGTTACACATATGTAAATGTTTTTGATAAATAGTTTATCGTGTTATATGATACTGAACATGTTATGTATCCATAATCATTTTTTTCAGACTGACAAGATGTTGTACCCGGCAGTGTTTACGCTGGTGATAGCCATGATTGCAGCCGATTCAGTCCCTTCATATCCAAAAGTAAGCAAAGGTTATGGTAAAAGCGTGACCAAGGGTTACAGTCACAAGGGATTTAACAATGGTTACAACAGTTACAACGGTTACAACGGATTTAACCGTGGTTACGGCGGATTCAACAAAGGTTATATGGGAAATTTTGGCATGATGGGTCCATCATTTGGATACAATGGGTTTAACCGTGGTTACGGTGGATTCAACAAGGGTTTCAATGGATACAACCAAGGCTTTATGGGATTCAACAGTTACAATGGATTCAACGGTTATAATGGTTATAACGGGTTCAACAAAGGATACAGTATGATGAATGGTGGCTTTAACGGAGGTTACGGCTTTCCAATGGGAAACCGATTCTTCATGAACCGCCGGGTCTATCCCGGATACCCCCGATTTGGCGGAAACTCCTACACAACGTACCGATCTAATGGTTATTTCGGGGATGATGACGACTACAAATTTGGCGGAAACTACCGAAGACCTTTCTCTCATAATTTCTACCCTGGAGGATACAGCAATAGTTACAGAGGCGGGTACATGAAGAGCTTTGGTGGTCCCTACCAGACAATGTACAAGTCAATGCGTCCAAATTTTGGATACAAGTCAATCAAGTCAGCCAAAACGGTGAGTTAACTAGTTGTAAATCTAACATTTATCACTATTTACTGAAAAGGTGAGAGAATGAATTTTATCGCTTTTTAGGTCCAAGTCCATCTACGTCATATAATAGTATGACAGTTGATATTATATATTGATATGTATGCCTTAAATTCACGTTTTTCTCCTTCTAGGGTTCCTACTGAAAATCCACGCCAACGGACTTGACAAGACCAAATGGATTTGATCTCGTGCGCGACAGAAATATGTGATGGTACTTTGTAAATTATTTCCCATTAAATGTAGTTGTTGTTTCTTCAATTAAAAAAATGTAAAAAAAAAAAAAAAAAACATGAGTTTTCTTTTTCTTTTATGTTAAGATCAAGTTGTCGAGATTTCCAAATAAGATATCATATGAAGGTTTTGGTTTTATATTGCTTAGCATTCTATCCATAGTTATAGCCCGTATAACACGGCATTTGATTGGTTATCATTGTAAACCGGCATTTGATTGGCTAATGGACATAATTTGCAACACGAAATACGAATTTTTCCTTCACTTAAACATGCTTTTCTATGATAGTTCAGATTTCCTGAAGTTAAGAAAGATTCGCGAAACTGCGGCCGACACAGGGATAACCCTTCTTTATGTTTAAATTTGCTGTGGTATATATCGTGATTACGGCGTCGCAAAATTTAGTTTCTTTTGCGACATGTAGCGACAATAGTAAAAACTCAATTTACAATAATATAAATATTATACCATCCAACTAGACACTACTGAAGCCGATATTTTCATTTTATATGAAGATGGCCTGTTCTAAGACAACAAAAATCGACAATGTTGTCTTCTCTTAGTAAGTGGATGTATTGGAAATATGAAAACAGGTGTTACAGACATTGTATCCAGTAGTACCCAGCTTCAAGTGAGATATTGCTATGTGTTTACAGGGACATTAAGTATCTGGAAGCATTTAAAAATTTGCCTAATTTATGTTGATCAGCGCTTTTTTCATGTTAGATTATATAAGAGAGAAATTTATTACAAAATGTTACATAGACACGCTACAAAATAACTCTACTGAACTGTTTTGATATACACAATTTGATATACACAACCAACATACGATTAATCACTTCCAATTGGTACAACCTTCCTAAACTGAGGTGTTATTCGGGTCAGATTATCACCTCCATCATCATTTCAATTAGTCTGGAGTTCTTTTCGCCAAGATGAATGGGACAGTCAAGTGTTAAAATCCTATGCAGTGTAACACAAACAAATGTCAAATAGAGATTGGGAGAAGTCCTTTTTGTAATGTTAATGCTATTGTGAATACAGATCAAATCGGTTACAAACGTAGACCTGATTACAGTCAATTTATATGAGTGACTTTAATATTAGCGGTATCCGAGGTATTTTTACGGTGAAATATCTAACTGCGTTCATAGATATATGGATGCACCATGCACACACTATAAATATATACATAACTTGTCTGTATAACTTTCCTGGTATATTCTCAATGTGTAAATACAAGCAGGGTAAACAGTATGAAGATCTGTGTCAGCAACAAGTGTTAATACCTTTCATATGGGCATTCATTAAAGCTTGAATTATATAGCTGTTGTGAAATGGCGGTGATAAGTTATAGGTGGCAAATCTGGTGAAAACATTTGGACACTAAACATATGGTTATATGAACGAATTCAGAGTGAACAAGTGACCCAAATACAGACAAGGATAAATCAAGACCTACAGGAATACAAATCTGAAATGATGAGTTCAAACTGTTTTGTATAGAACGATGGAGCAGGTGTTCTTTTTCAACGAATATAAGGCGGTCTCTCTGAAGACAACTTCCTGATTTTGACGTATGACTCTGAAATAGGGTGAAAACACCAATACCATTTTCTGAAAATAATGGTGAAATGTACTTATACATGTAATATGAAAGCACACGTGAATTCGACACTTATATAAGAGGTAGATTTAAAGATAGTGTATTTTGGTCTATGTATGATTACAGCCTGTGTTTAAAACATTCTTATCTATTAATTCACTTATATATGTGTTTAATACGAGTATTATAAAGTGCATTCTCCAAACTATGTTGTTGGGTTTTTTTCCTCATTAAACCCTTACATGGGTGAAAACACTAAGATATCACACAAGTATAAGCAATTCCATGACACTATTTCCTAAACGTCGTTTCATTTTTGTATCCAGAATATCAATAATTGGTTGGCTAGTTTCAAGGTGGAAGAGGAAAGGGAATAAGTGGCATTCAGCAAAATTAGTCCTCTCCCTTTCCTCAACCTCGTTTTTTTACCGGTCGATCAACCAGAAAAAAGCTACATGTGTAATTGCGTTTCAGGAAATAGCATGCAATTTAAGTTTAACATCGGGTCAAGAGTCAATTTTTTTAAAAAATTACGGGTGGTCGGGTGGCGCATTGGTAACGAACTCGCCTTTCACCTAGCCGATTCCCGGAACGGACGTGAAAAGGTAAGGGGTCACCTACCCGACCACGTGGGTTTTTCCCCGGTACTCCGGTTTCCTCCCACAACAATACCACTCGCGCGCATACATCCGTGCCAACAAGAGTGATTAGTATCAGTTGACATAACTTGTTTCGCAATTGTTGTAAAATAAATAAAGTTTATATATATTATATATTAATTTTTTTTAAATATTTGTTTGATTGCTATAGTGAAGGGATTGATTTCGTTGTCTACGATTTGATTTTAAATCCACGGTGTTATTTCTATTTTGCCCACAGATACGCTTCTGTTTTTTTATGCATAATAAGTTGAGATCTTATTTAACTTATTTATTACAGTTTTCTATATAACTGCATGTCAAACTAAATTATAACCTAAGAGTATTTTACATATATCAAAATTAATCTGAACAATGGGTTACTCACAAATTATTCCAACATATCAAAGCCTTCTGCCAACATATTTACAATCACTTGTTTACAAAGATCTAGGGATTAACTACACAGGCACGATTCCACAGCCTCAGGTTAAACTAAACGACAGCAGTTTTCTAAAGCATAACAACGGCTCATATGTTAATTAAAAGGAGAATTGAATTCCCCACAATACTTTTCGTTTTAACTTTTAGACAAACATCACCTGGTAAATTATGATAGTAGGGCATTATGTAGGATCAAAGGTACTGGATACGGGTTGAATAACTAATCTAAACGGGTCAGTCATCTCGAGCTCCCTATTATTATTTACCAAGTCCAGACTTAAGACTTGGTCGGGTCAGATAATTTGATTAAAATTAAACATTTCATTTACTGCAGGCAAAAGTTGTAAGGCGGAAAAATGTAGCACTGGGTCAGCCGAAGAGATCGTAATATTGAACTTATATCAGAAAAAAATGTGCTTAAAAGAATATCTTGTATGTTATAATAATGATATTGGCGGGGGGCACAAAGACTAAAATAAGAATAATATATATTTCGGAAACCTTCTAATAACATATATTCTAGCTTAATTAATTTTCTGATACCAAAAAAATGGAGATAGTAATGAAAATCTAATGTGACCGATCATTTTAAATAAGTTGCTGTTGACCAAGATAACCTTTCACAGACATTAAGACGGTCGAGGTAGTAAGCAGTTATCTCCCTTGTTTTCATCAGAACGAGGATACTGTCTGTCTGTGTGTCCTGCCAGCTCATGAAGTGAGTTGTCACTTGACGTAGGCATAGGGCTACTTTCGATATTTCTACTTGTACATTATGGATGCACCTTCAGGTTTCAGACAGCGTAAGTCAAAGAGTAGGTTCAATTTACGTAACTTTGGATGTTGTGACTTTTTGCAGTGCTTCTTTAAGTTGTATAAACCATTAGACAACACTGTGTCTCTCTATAAATGGTTGTTGTTATTTTTTATTTCTTTCTTTCGTTGTTTGTGATCTCTAGGGTCTACCACATACACGAGAACATGAAGTCTTTGTCTAGCCCTAGCTACACACTTCTTCTAGTGAGCTTCTGTCTACTGTACTGTAATTGTCAGCAGGTCACTTTCGGCGTTTCGCTGTATTCCTGTAACATACAGAATTCCCAAATATTGTAGTCTAATGTGATGAGACAGGACTAGATTCCTACAAATGATATTTATATAATGTAGCTAGTATGTTTTTGTCCATGAGTTTGAATGTCCACTGTTTATACATACAGCTGGTTTAATTTGGTCATCCTTTAAGTTTTCCAGCTATAATACATAACCAATACTGATATATAGTGGATAAATAGTACCAGGTATACTTGATCAACACTTCCACATGATCATACATCCAAACAATCCTAAGTTATCAAACAATGTTACTCTTGAAAAGCACTAGCTGTTTCCTTCAATGAGCCATTTGTGTTTGTATTGGCGAAGGGAGACAATCCTTATTAATTAAGGTTAAAATAGTTACAAGTTTATGGTAAACTTAAACAATATTTCCTCAGTTCAGTACATTCAAGAAACATTTACTAATGTTGAAAACACATATTTTTCCTTTGTCTCTAAATGATATAGTCAAATCGTTAGAAGAATTCATAGAATTACCACTTTGTTTTCTGATGATCGTGATAAAAAGATAATGCAGCATGGCATGTGACGGATGTACTTCATGTACTGGTATATGTGTATTTTTCTGCTTCCTGCAGTATGTTCCAGGAAGTTTCAAATACAGTTCCTATGCATTTTTTTCCTTTTCGTGTCTCCTACCTTATTTGCTTATGTTGTGAAATGTAACCATAGAAATTCAGAAGCACCTCATTGGTTTGCATGCATCCAAAGTTACTAGGTTGATGAAGACCTACTATTGTGTATTGTTAGCTGTATCTTTTGTACAATGTAAGTGTTAACTTCTTCATCAGTGATACCGCAACAGTATGTGATTTTAATTTGAAGGAATCGTGTGTGTGCTGTGTGAATATAGTAAATAGATAGAAATACAGTTGAGAAGCAATTTTTTATTCTTTGATTTCAACATTTTGTTGTTCATGTTATAAGGTATCATATATGTAAATGTTATTGGTAAAGTATGTAAAATATAAATATATATGACCATACATTTTAACATATTCAAAAGAAAGGAAATCGTTCAACAGGTACATATTTATCATGTGATAACTTTGTGATGTGATATATACTGAAATGCAATGCTATCAAATTTTACCTACTGGATGAAAGCTTTTAAAAATTACATTTCTTATTTCAAGGCCTGTTGGAGTTTTATTTCTGAAATCTCTTTTCCAATTCCATTGCTTGTTGTTTTAAACCGTCCTGTATGTAAATTATTTAGCATGCTTTCAGTTATTTCTTTTAGATGGTACTTTATAAACAATGTGATCTGTTTTTAATTTTTCTGTTTTGATTTTTAAAGGACATCATGAGAGTAAATAATGGACAGGAGAATAACTAAATCAATGGTGTTAAAACTTCTCATATACACGATATGTACTAAATAAATATGATGTGTAATTTTCAGCAAGTAGCCAGAAGCGGCGTCCTAAAGGTCAGAAAGGCAAGCCGCAGCTGTTTGAAGACACCAGTATGCAACAGCCCTCACCCCAGCAGGGATATGGTGCACCACCAGGTGCAGGTAACTCTTTTCCAATATTTGAATATGTCAATAGAATATTTGTCAAAATACTGTCATCCAATGGTAAATTAGATCCTTTGTTATTGAAAAGATGGCCTGGTATGTATCTATATGCAAATATACGAGATGATAGGTAAAATGAAAATAAATGAATGCAGAATTTGCAATGAGATAATTTGATGTGTGTTACAGGATATGGTAACTATGGTTACAGTGTTAACAATAGTTATGCAGCACCACCCCCAGGTATCTGAATTCACAGCTCTAGAACTAAATGCTACTATAACTTGACTCGCAAAGGAATATTAAACCTATTAACTCATAATATATCACTAACACTGCTCTGTTGAAAGTAAGAAATGAAACAATAAAAATATATGGTACATGTACATGGTGATGGTGTAGAAATTGTATCAAAGATGTATCTCATGCATGTGTATTCTGCTACGTTAAAGCAAGTGTATACTCATGTTCAATCTTGTTTGAGGACACATGAGATTGTGTGTCAAGGGATATCATAGATTTTTTCAACCACCAGTGTGGCCTATAGAAACATATACACAATATGTCATTGATAGTCTTATAGAAAATACTGTTTTGGTGTATTTCTTTATTGGTTAATGACCTATATGTTTTATGCATTAATTTTTTGCCATTGTGAATGATCAATTCAGAATTTCAATTATTTGAACAGTTATAAGATATATGCAATTTGTTTTTTTTTTCTTTTATGGTTATGATATGTTGACTTTCTGACTGCAATGATGTGTCTCTGATTACCAGCTCTGTATCTGCTTTACTAGTGGATATTAATGCTTTAAATTATATCTAACCAAACTGATCATGATATGTTGGTAAATGGATATATGAATACATGATAGTTATCAGTATCTTATATTTAGTAAAAAAAGGACATGTATATTATAGTATTATATTAACACATGTTTTATTATTTGTAGATTTATACATTTACAAGCTATAATGTATCCACTTAATTTTGAACAACAAAAAATACTTTGGTGAATATTTACTTGTGAACTTGTGACCTAAAACTATGTTGCATTAGTCAGCCAAAAGTGTTTTCTAGCATTCTTTCACTAGCCATTGTAATCGAGGTACAAAGTATATTATTGGATTATTGACATACTTTATAAAGTAAATTTGAAGTGGCCTATTTTTCATTGTAAATTGAAGATTTACATGTAAGGTTATCATATTCACATTAACAATGCTCATTGTGATTTGTCCTTTGCTCTGTAGATATGGGACAAGGGTATGACCAGGGTGGCTACAGTAATCCTCCAATGCAGTTTCCTGGACAGCAGTTTATAAATGATCCTATGATGACCAATATGGCTATGCAATATGGCAGTTCACTAGCTGACCAAGGCAAAGATTATGTCAACAAAAATGTAGGTTACTCAGCATTTTCCATTCTTTGTACATGTACTATGAAATCTTTCATTTTATGCAGATAGCAAATGAAAGTGATTTTAATAAGAAATCTTTGATATTATGTTAACAATTTTTATCCTGTTTTATTGTTATTTTTTCAGCTTGAGAAATATGTGTCCACATCTAAGCTGAAGTATTACTTTGCTGTAGATACTGCATATGTTGGGAAGAAGCTAGGACTTCTGTGTTTTCCATTCTCTCACTCAGTAAGTGAAATAGCTATGCAATATTTACACCTTACTAATGCAATAAATGAACTGATGACATAGAAATACAATCTTGTTTTTAGAAGATCCCAAACAAAGTCTAATATGACATATTGTGATACTCTCGCAGTCATCTGTCTTGCATACATAACCAATGGACATCCTCTTCAAAAAATTCACTAAACAAATGTCAAAAAGCAAGAAATTATTACTGGAATTTTCAATTGCTAAAACAGTCACACTTCAATTTTGCATTTTTTGGGTCCCTCACCCCAGTCCTGTGCATAGAGTCAGAAGGGGTCAAACTGACTGAACTTGTAACAATCTACTTTTGACCAAGAGGCACTAGAATGAAACACTCTTTACAGTTGGAAAGATCCTATTAAAGGGGCCTTTACAGTATAAACATTAATTTCGTTATTTATTGTACATGTTTATACACTCCCAGTTATGTTTCTCTGATATCCTGATATTCATAGTCAATTTCCAATGTCAAGCTTGACATCTTTTTTGGTTCGGGAAACTCTTCTTAAATTTAGCGCTGATAATGTCATGCAGTAGTTTTGAAAATGAGACAGTTCGTTTTGTAAACACCAACACACAATGGTGGGCAGAAATGACAGTGACAGTAGTAACAGTCAGTAAAATCCTGTTTTCAGCTCCAGATTTTTTTATGAGTATTGCAAATGTTATTTGATAACTATTAGTCAATTCAGAATTAGGAAATCAGTAATATTAATTGCTAGCCAATTCAGATGGAAAGCCACTTTTGTTTACAGCTGATGGTGTATTGTGTGCATGTATTATCATAAATGACACAAAAATTTACATATCCAGATTGTTGATTCACAGACACGAAAGTTTACATATCCAGATTGTTGATTAATTGACACAAAAATTTACATATCCAGATTGTTGATTCACGGACACAAAAATCTACATATCCAGATTGTTGATTCACAGACACAAAAATCTACATATCCAGATTGTTGATTCACAGACACAAAAATCTACATATCCAGATTGTTGATTCACAGACACAAAAATCTACATATCCAGATTGTTGATCACTAATTCAGGATTTCCTTTTTTACGATTTTAATTAACCTCTTTATGTGCATATTTTATAAAAAAAAAAAACTGTCATTGTTCATGAGGTGATACAGTTGATATATGTATGCAATAATCAATCAATCAGTGTAAAAACTGTTTTATCATGATGTCACTTTAAAGCAGCTTTATAGAAAGTTTTGTTACTGTTTTGATTTAGTATTATTAACTTTTATTTGAAATAATTCAGTCTAGGCAGTACTTATTAGCATAGTATAGGAGTTTGATTGAGCAACAATTACAAAAGCATTCTTCATCTTCAACATGATAATGTACCAGCAGAGAATTTAACAACTTGTAATTAGTAAACTATTGAATAGGATAATTATGACTTGTGTTCTTTTTGTTGATGCTTTCAAACTATAAATATTCAGAAATTGTTAATCATGATCGAACATCAATTGGTCTGGAACTAATAGTTGTCCAATTTGTATTATGTGAAAAACTAAGTTTGCGTCATTTATATCACAACACATGGTTATGAAACAAATTTTCCCTCCCCTACCCAGAAAATCAGAACTCTGACTTCTTGTTTCATATACACATTTATCAAAAAAATGTGATTTCAGTTTTGTAGCTATATGATTAATGTGACCTATTCTAACAGAATCCTTTCCAATCTAAATACAAATATGTACAAATACTTTGTGATGGTTTGTTACTTTAATAAGCTTTCACCATTGTTCACAGGATTGGTCAATTAAGTTTAATCAGGATGAGCCTGTAGCACCCCGGTATGAGGTGAATGCTCCTGACTTATACATCCCAGGTAAGTTATTGGTCAACATTTCGGCCTGAAATGACAATAGGCAGCAATACTGGTTACATACCTGGATTATCATCATCCACTGGTTTAAGATCTCTGATGTGGAAATTGAGATTTAAACACAGTTTCTGAAACCTTATTCTCATGTCTCAGTTTGTTAAATCTATCAATGATAGTTGAAGTATGAACCCACTTTTTAAGAGATACAGGGTAGTTAACACTCGTTGGTACACACAAATCTATTATACACTCTTCTCTTACAGTGATGGCCTTTGTTACATATGTACTAGTTGCAGGTGTTGTGTTGGGAACACAAAACAGGTATGCCTACATTTACTTCAAATAAAAACCAGATGCTTCAACAAAAACCCACAAAATAGATTTGTAATGTTGTTCACTTTTTATGCTCTTCTAGGAAATAGCTTGGGACATGTTTTGAACTTCATTTTGTTGTGAGTGGGCCAGATGAATGCCTATTTTAAAGGTGGTTTTATGGAGAAGAAAATGATTTACTACTAACAATGCATTAGAATTTTAGATATTTTCATTTAAATAAAGATCAGGGTAGTACCTCAGTCTTTCTTTTCTTGTTTTGGTTTACTTGATGTTTATGTTTATCAATATGAAAGTGTTGAATTTCAGACTTGTACTGCTGATATTCAGTACTTTGACTCTTGTTTCTGATATGTTGTGACAGGTTTACACCAGAACAATTGGGCACACAAGCAAGTACAGCCTTAGTCTGGCTTATCATCGAACTAGTTGTGCTGCTCTTCACCTTCTACGTGATGAACATCAACACTGATCTTAAATACCTTGATATTCTTGCCTTCTGCGGATACAAATTCTTGGGGTATGTTTATTGAAATATCTTGATTGGTACAAATATATCGGAAGTCTACTTGATTTTCATGACTTGTCATTATGATTGACTTTAAATTTGGTTACTAAGGATTACTTGACAATTTTAATGTAAGCATTCAAAAAGTAAATATACTATTTATACTTAGATTCACGATGCATTAAATGGATCAGATAAGAATAGAATGAAGTCGCACTGGATGACAAATGGCAATAACTTTTTGTGTTTATGATGAAATTCATAAGGTTGAACAGTAGTGAAGGAGAATGAAAAATCCTAAGATTCTCAGTGCTGTTTAAAGCACAATATTTTTTCATTGATTTTGTTGATGTTTTCAGAATGATCGTGAGTCTGTTAGCTGGGTTGTTGTTTCAGTCTACAGGATACTACGCTGTACTTTTATGGTTTAGTTTATGTATAGCCTTTTTCTTGGTAAGTTATGGTCTTCATATTTTATGCTACCATTGTTATTTAACAACAAAAATGGCTTTTCCAATCAATACCCACAAATATTTCTTCAATGTTTTGTTATATGGATGGATAGGAAAGATTTTTTTTTTAACATATGAACATTTATCTTAACACCCTTTTGGTAAATATTTTATAAATTATATTTAATACTAATGTTGACTATTAAAAATCTTTGTTTGTTTCTACAACATAGATGAGTTGTTGTTCCTTGTTTTCTAGTGTTCTCACATGGCTTCTCCATGAAAGTTGTTACTTTTTTTTTCAGATAAAATCATTACGAGTTAAAATATTACCTCATTCAGAAGGAGATGGATTCTCAAAGGGAAGTAAGCGGAGTCTTTACCTGATTCTTTGTATATCTCTGGTACAGCCATTCATGATGTGGTGGTTGACCAGTCATATCATGTTTGTAAGGAAGTGATGACCACCCCTAGACATGCTGTGTGATTGATGCACTTGACAGTTAGAATAAAAAATCATCCATCTTGATGTGTGCAAGTTAATTATAGTACATTGTCATGAAACAGTAACTTTGCAGAAAGACAGTTGGAGATTTACTCTTCAGCTGGTGCTATTTTATGATGTGGGACAAATTATTTTTTCCTGTTAATGTTGAACAGATGCTTACATTATCAAATATTTAAGAATGCAAGTATTTTGAGCTGTTAAACAAAGTTTAGTCATGCTTTAATCCTGGTGAAGGAAAAACTTCAATGATTGATTTTTTTTTTTTTTTTTTTTTTTTTCATTTGGTTGTAAGACTGCAGTAATCAGTAAAGTTGGAATTTTGAGTAACAGAAACATTGTACAGACAGAAATTTTGATATAGAGAAGTCATATACATACTCATTTACTCAAATACTGCATGTTTAATTGTACTTCACATATATAATAGTTTGGGCTACTGTAGGTGTGTGTGTGAAATGAAAAAGTGCTTTTTTTTTCTTTTTTTCTTTTTTTTTTTGTTTGATATTTTTCAATTACTTTCGGAACACATGTCGTGTATCTTCTGTGTATATGGTCTATAATGGGTGCCCCTGTCTGAAGTGTGTGTCTGTACTCTAGAGAGAATGACCAATACTTGTGTAGGATCTGAAAGGATGTTCCTGTCAGAAATGTGTGTCTGTACATATATAAATACTTGTGTAGGATCTGAAAGGATGTGTGTGTGAAATGTGTGTCTGTTCTCTAAAGATGACCAATACTTGTGAAGGATCTTTTCCTGTCAGAAATGTGTGTCTGTTCTTTTGATTGACCAATACTTGTGAAGGATCTGAAAGGATGTTCCTGTCACAATGTGTGTCTGTTCTGTGTATACTTGTGAAGGATCTGAAAGGATGTTCCTGTCAGAAATGTGTGTCTGTTCTCTAGAGAGATTGACCAATACTTGTGAAGGATCTGAAAGGATGTTCCTGTCAGAAATGTGTGTCTGTTCTCTAGAGAGAATGACCAATACTTGTGAAGGATCTGAAAGGATGTTCCTGTCAGAAATGTGTGTCTGTACTCTAGAGAGAATGACCAATACTTGTGAAGGATCTGAAAGGAAGTTCCTGTCAGAAATGTGTGTCTTTACTGTTACAGTCTGTAGGATCTGTCTGTGGGACAATACTTTGCTCACAGATAGAAGTGTTACGGAATGGTAAGGTGTCAGATTATAAAGTTGTCCCAGACATTATATTCATTGAAATATGGTCAGTATAATGATATAGATTAATCACTATTTGTGGGTATAATGATGTAATTTATGTTATCAGCTTTAACAGTAAATGTTTTTAATATATGGAGACTATTTGTATCAAAGTCTATTTGCTGGGTATGGTACAAAACAGTAGATTTTTACTTGGCAAGGTATGAATTATGATAGTTACAGTGTTCATCATGAATCTACTGCATCACAAGCAACTGTCTACCAGCAAATAGCTTACCTTATTTCATTACCTGTCCTTTTAACCTACAAGTACAGGGTTAGAAAATACATTTAGTTATGACACAGTAGTGACTGTGATAAAATCAGTATTAGAACTGTGTAATGCAAATACTACTTAGATGTGATTTTATATTAGGAAGCTTCTAGGTCATTAAAGAAAATCATCCAAAAAACTTTTTCAACTAAGAATTCAATGTTCAATATCTTTAATGACACAAAGATATACATTGTATGTGTCTAGTTGAAATTGTATTGCTTGGGAAATTGCCATATCTAGTTTAGATACACCTTATCCTGCACTGGTTAGATTTCTGTGCTAATTTTGTTTTAAGCCATGACTGATTAAGTCTTCCATATGTTGTTTTCATCAGTACATATTGTCAAATTACAAGTGATAATTTTTCAACTTCAAAGGTAGGACTTTTCCAAACCATCAAACATAAATTGTGAAAACTCTCCTGACTGTGATATACATTTATCTTTTTTCTATTTTTCTCTTGTTGAGAATTTGAAAATAATGTATATACAATGTACATGTATCAGCCTAGATGTTGCTTGTGAAATGCTTATATGTGGGGCCATTTGATGGCTGGTCGTTCTACACCATCACTTAGTTAGTGCCATGGAGGCGCTTGCACTGTATGAAATAATTAACCATTTAAGTGAATGGAAGCTTGACATTTTTGCAAAACGTGAAAAAGCATGTCTCAAATTGTGAATTCATTTTTGTTTACTGAGGTTAATACGAAGGGAGATTACTCTGAATTACGAATTAATTTGCCTTGGTATAGTTTATATTAAATGCATGCAGCAAAATAAATAAAAAATGTGATGTCAATTTTGTTGATTGATTTGGTTTTGTTTTTGTCCTCTGTACTTCTAGCTATCCATACGTAATGTGTGTAATACACAGGAATATTCAAGGAATGGGAACCGTTTGAAAGAGGCAGGATATAATGAGATAGTTTAGAACTAATGATACAATATTGTTTGATTGCATTTTCAAAGTATTAACACAAAATGGCCTCTATTGTCAGTAATCTTGCCTCTGTTGTTCATATAAAACGTATTGGTCGACACATCATGAAAATTATATTCCCGATATAATTTTGTCTCTTGGTATCCAATCAAAAAGTTAAAAGGCAAATTATTCGAACGGCTGGTTTTTGTAGATGAATGATCGATCTGAATGAATGTTCTGGTGTCCTCTTCCTTTTTCCACTTATTCATTAAGTTTGTTTTCAATTTTCCCTTTTACATCATGTCCATGTTGTATGGGATTCTTACAAAAGTGATAATTCATGGTTCTTGATTGATATATGATGATCATCAACACAGATCTTAAATACCTTGATATTCTTGCCTTCTGCGGATACAAATTCTTGGGGTATGTTTATTGAAATATCTTGATTGGTACAAATATATCGGAAGTCTACTTGATTTTCATGACTTGTCATTATGATTGACTTTAAATTTGGTTACTAAGGATAACTTGACAATTTTAATGTAAGCATTCAAAAAGTAAATATACTATTTATACTTCGATTCACGATGCATTAAATGGATCAGATAAGAATAGAATGAAGTCTCACAAAGTGATAATTCATGGTTCTTGATGGATATATTTCCAATTTTATATATGTTTTCCTTCTTTATTTGTTACCATAGGACCATTTCACATTTGGACAAATTGTTAATAGAAGCATATACATGTACTTATATACGTAAGCATATACTTCAAATGTACTTCGGTAGTTTCCACTTTTCACTAAAATTTATTGTTTCACTTTCCGAAAGTGGCACTAAAAATAACCTGACGTACTCATTTTTTGAAAGATTTCCGCATTTCATGACTTTTGTTTTGCCAGAATCCTGATATCGGAGACAACTGACTTCTTTTAGAATGAAGTGCATATTAAGTTTTGTTTTTAAAAAAGTTACATGGGCTTACTTTCTACTTTTCAAAGTTACATTAGTGACAAGAACACATTTCCAGTTTCGGGATTCAAAGTTTAAGATCGCTGATTAAGAACCAGTTATTGGTGTTTAATCCATAGATAAGAACATCTTTATGGCTTCAAATTAACGACAAAGGGATAATGAAAAATGATCCTAAGGTCACATCAACCTTAAAATGACTGTCCTTGGTCATAACTGTATACAGATATGTTACTGGCGACCTACAGGGTTCTTTTAAACAAAACACTAGATGGCGTCTAATGTTGATAGAGAGGGACTAAGATATACATGTACTATCTCAAAGTATTGTGATAAGCGCTGCTCGCGACATAATATGTGTACCTTTCGCTGATAGCCTGATGACTTATATGTGTGCTTGTGGTAGGACACCATCTGTGCTGGCACATGACCCCCTCCGTGAAAGCTACCCCCTGAAGAAGACCATCTGGAACTGCTAAAGGTAATAAGGGTGGGGAGGTGGGACTCGGGGACTGATGTAAATCTTAGGTCTTGAACAGTAACAAAATAAATAGCAAATGCCTAATTAGTTACATTACAGATGTTCGAAGTTATAATCACGATAGCCTCATCTATGGTAAAATCTAAATACCATCTTGTGTATGTTGGTCGATAATATGTTTACCATCTCGTCACACTGTTTTCGACCTTAGTTTACATAGGATTATAGTGCAGCCGAAAAAGTTGGTCGATTCCTTTTAACGTACACTATGTATGTCAGTGCTGATATGCTCCAGACTGGTCATTTGTCTGATGAAGATGATCATGCAGTCACACTCTAATCTTCTACTGGTTGCGTTCTAAGAACTTCTATTCTGTTAGCCTGACCGATGTAGTGTTTTCATAGTAATGTAACATTCGCAGTATTTAGGTAATTCATTCCTGTTAAACTTATTCAAATTAATAACATGATGTTAAGGCTTGCCCATGACCATTGTATTTGATATCTTTTTGACCGACTATAATCAGCGGATCTCTGCATAACGTCCTATTACCATAACTTTTAAAATCAATTATTTATCTAAAAGTCTTAACACACCTTTAATCTATACATTTCTTTGGCATGTTAACCCAATTAGCTACATCGCATATTGGTTTTTTAAAAATAAATTCTTCTTATCATCCTTCTTTGTGAAACACGTAAATCTGAAACAGTAAATAGTATTGATTTTTATAAACAATTTGTTTACTGCAGTCTGAAGCTTGAAGAAATGACGATGGACAAACGAACAGCAAGCGGCGACTTTGTGAACGTTGTTAGCCTGTTCTTCGTCATCAGTCTACACCTAGCAGGAGCACAGGTTTATTCTGCAACGCTGAACCCAAGGCTTAGTCTCGAACTGAGCCGGTGTCGAGAAACTTGTGGTGATAACTATTTTGAATGCAAAATTGGAAAATGTGAGGGCAAGGAGTTCGAGTCGGGAGAGGGTTATGGACTCTGTGTCGACCTCTGTAAAGACTCATTTTATACATGCTTGGATGACTGTAAACGGAGAATCGTCCCTCCTCCTACTATCGCCCCGACTACCAAGGAGCGCGACATCCTACCTCCGGGAATATACGAAAAGATTCGGAATTTAAACACAGCAAAGGATATCAGTGAATTCAATTTGAAATTTTTACGTGGACCGTTTGATCGAAATCCAGTAATGGTAGGCGATAATGTCAATGAGGAACGTCCTACCGACATAGTTTTGGTTGCTGGAAAGGACTACGTGAACAAACTAAATACAGAGAAACCTTATTCTTTCACGGGTTTTCGCACTTGATCGAATAGTTACGAAAGGAATGAAAAAATATACACTCGTCATGATCTTTGCCTCTTGTTTATACTTCCAAAGAAAATTACTGTAACAGGGACCGATCGAACAAGCACATTCATGAATATATGTTATCGGAGGTCCACTTAATGTCATATAAATACAGAGGACCTTATATAAGTACCCATTTTACATGAAACAAAGTTACTTTTTACAGAATAAAGAAGATTTGTGACGAATTTCATTAATGTCATGAAAATGGAAACAATTTAGCATATTTTATAAATATCACATGATCAACAAGTTTACCAAATATTACAGAAAGAATTTTTGTTCCATGTCAAACTCGAAGTCGTCTATTGGTTCCATTGCAAGGTGATAATGTTATCTGTCGTGTGACATCATTTTACTATATGTAATCCTGGGATTACCATTTGGCAACGAAATCGTTTTATTTATTTATTTATTTATTTATTTATTTATTTATTTATTTATTTATTTATTTATTTATTTTCTATGTTAGTGATCCCTAACACAAAAAACGGAGTTTAATCTCAGTTTTATCACAGACTGCTATATTTTTATATTTACAATGCACTGATTTCTAACGCCGCCGCATTTGGTCAATAAAAAGTGACGCTATAAAGTGACTCTTTTAATGCAATGTGGTTATAACATAAAAAAAGAGTTATGAAAATGCTTGTAACTGTATCAGAGACCTCCTGTATATCAGGGTATCAGAGACTTACGGTATATCAGGGTATCAGAGACCTACTGTATATCAGGGTATCAGAGACCTACTGTGTGTCATCGTAACAGAGACCTAAGGTACGTCATCGTATTAGAGACCTAAGGCACGTCATTGTATCAGAGACCTACGGGTACGTCATTGTATAAGAGACCTAAGATACGCCATCGTTTCAGAGACCTAAGGTACGTCATTGTATCAGTGACCTAAGGTACGTCATTTTAGCAGAGACCTAAGGTACGTCATTGTATCAGAGACCTAAGGTATAACATTGCATCAGTGACCTAAGGTACGTCATTGTATCATAGATCTAAGGTACGTCATTGTATCAGTGACCTACGGGTACGTCATTGTTTAAGAGACTTAAGGTACGCCATCGTATCAGAGACCGAATTTACGTCACTGTATCAGAGACCTAAGGTACGTCATTGTATCAGAGACCTAAGGTACGTCATTGTATCAGAGACCTAAGGTACGTCATTGTATCAGAGACCTAAGTTACGTCATCGTATCAGTGACCTAAGGTACGTCATTGTACCAGAGACCTAAGGTACGTCATTGTATCAGAGACCTAAGTTACGTCATCGTATCAGTGACCTAAGGTACGTCATTGTACCAGAGACCTAAGGTACGTCATTGTATCATGGTCATTGTATCGGATACCTATTATGGTCATTGTATCATGGTCATTGTATCAGAGACCTAGCATGGTCATAGTATGGTCATTGTATAAAAAACGTTGAATGGTCTCAAAAGAACGTCAAATTACATGTTTGAGTTAATCAAAACGCGACAGTTCACCAGCAGTGCCTTTTACCTGCGATTACCAATATCACATCAATATAATGTCAATTGTATCGGTCTTGACTTCCTATACACGTTCCTTAACACTAAATACAAATTAAACATAGTTTGTAATTAACTACTGTTTGACTTGATAATGTAAGATACCGGGTCATGAAATTTGCATATAATGTACTTGAAGCTTAATAGATATCGACTTCTAAACGAGGCAAAAATCTAACATCAAACAAATACAACGAAAACGCTGACAATACCACTAATTCGTCACAACACATTCACAATGGTCGATTTGATGAAGCACACCTTTACCTACTGTGTATGTAATCCTTAATGTTTACATACACTAAGAGACCGTAGAATTTTCCAGGTAGAATGATATCACAAGCGGATCATGAGACTGCAGTTATGCTGAGTATCACGGATGTATGTTTGATACCCCTGTGGCAGGCCTCAAGCGTTACACATTGTGCACTGTGCTGATGCAATCCAACCGGTTTTACAGCAGATTGAAGACGGCGTGTCAATTAGTATCTTATCTGGATGTTTTAAGCAAAATTTTTATTTCGGGAGTGAGTTTTTAAAATACATAGTAGAGCATTATCATATTTTACCAGTCTATCAACTTTGAAAACGTCTTATATTTAAATATGTAACGTCTTATTTTTTCGAATGCTTGTTTGTTTAAAATCATATTTATGTTGTTCCTCTATCAAATTCCATAATTACTAAACCAAAGATATTTTGGTATCATAACTAAATCATATTAGATTTTTTTTTCTCATCTGTTGTTATTTACCGTTCTCGACCCCCATCATTTGTAAAGCTGACTGTGTGATACAAATGCAGTATCTCTGGGAGAACAAAATGTCAGGGACATAAAATGAACAGAATGTACGTCGATGTTTACTGCATAGTGTTGATGTGACGTTCATTGTTACATATTTTCATTGTTACTACACATCAAAAGGTAGTAATGTATTAATATTACTTCAAAAACATGTGTTCGTAATCGAGATAGCCCCTTTGCTGTGCCTCATGCGTCTTATTTAGCCAATCCCCGTTGTAGCAACTCCCGGATGTCAAGTTATTAAAACGAGGCTAGAGAACACATTGCGTCAGACAAGGGCGAGACACACAAGCAAACAGTGGCTCGCTGGTGAGATTGTAGCTAAAGCGATAACTAGAAACACTACAATGGCCGAGACTAACTCCTTAGATGAAGAAAAGAAGGGCCTGACTGATATGAACGATTCTGCGACTGTAGAAATAGACCAAGATGACTCGACGGTGAAATTTCTCAATGGCGGCAAGGGCATCGACGCGAAAGCAGATAGCGGGTCGGGTGATATATCTTTCACTGGTCTTGGGAAAGAAGAATTAATGAAATATGCCGACGATCCATTTTGGAAGAAGGTCAGAATCTGTCTGTTCGTCCTGTTTTGGGTAGGATGGGTTGCCATGTTGGTTGCAGCAATTGTCATTATCGTACTGGCTCCTCGCTGTCCGTACCGCCCGGACTCGAAATGGTACGACGAAAATACAATGTATCAAGTCTACCCCAGATCGTTCAAGGACAGTTCCAAAAGCCAGAGTACAGATCCTTCAGCAGGAGTAGGAGATCTCGAAGGTTTGTATGTTCTAAAAGACAGGTCTAACAAGCTAGTAATTAATTACGAAATTAGGTCGTATCATTGTGGTCACACCTCGTCAACGCATGTCATTTATTCGCGAGACGGCCAATGGAATGTGTGACATCTGTTTGTTAATAAAGAGTAACACAAGCCTAGTTTGAATGGAATGCATAATGCGTTTCTTGTATATTGAATCTACTTATTACTTACTGCGCGTCGTCTTGTGTAAAATAAAATATCGAGTTACGAAAGGAAAATAATCTACGTTTAGCTCCTATTTCAAGGTTGTCATGGATCTCTGCCGTCTAAAATTAGTGTGCCCTAGTAAAGGCTTCCATACATTGTGTAATAGCCCAACAAGGGTTCTACAAAGCACAGACACAGAATGTAGGGAAAATCAAACAATTTAGACTAGCATTTGATGAGGGTATAATTTTCAGGTTAAAAGCCATGATTGGCATGAAGTTACCTATTCTAGCAAACAATTGAAATAAGAGTTGAAGATAGAGTATGAATATTTTCCCATAGACTCTTAAGAGAAACTATACAACGAAAAGTCATTTAACTAACCTGTATGTTTTTGCATCACTCAGGCCTCTCCAGCAAATTGCCTTATCTCAAAGAACTTGGAATGAAGTCGCTGTATATCAGTTCTTTCTTCAAGTCTGGAAATCAGGACCATGGCATGGATGTGGTTGACCACAAAGACATTGATTCTATCTTTGGCACTCTGGACCAGTTCAAAGCCATACGCAAAGAAACCAAAAATGAGTGTAGGCATATATTACTCCACAGCATTGTTTTATTATCTAATCTTTAACACGCATGCTTTAAAATATTTTTGATTTTCTGACTGTGCCAATGTTCCATCAGCGATCAAACGACCACAAGTCCATGACTCTACCAACCAAATTTAAGAGAAATTCTCTTTTTTTGTTTGAATCACTGTTCATGTCTTTCTGCTATCAAATTGAGAAAAGAGAATTTTAAAGACTCTAAAGCATTTAACAATTAAATGCAAGTCCTAAATTTTTTTCAATGATGTTTGTATAATTGTCCATTTTCTCAGAATTTCTTCAGTCCAGATATGTTTAAAATCAACATTTTTAAAAGTAATTTCTTTGTTCTGTTTCAGTACGTATCATCTTGGACTTTATTCCTAATCATACTAGCCGTAACCACACTTGGTTTGAGATGAGCAAGAAGAAAGACGCAAAATACAAAGATTTTTATGTTTGGGCTTCATGCACACCAACCACCAAGCCTAACAACTGGGTAAGGGGAGATCATTTTATGTGTAATGGAATTGAATTTGGCATTTTAAATATATTATTTCAATATTGCAAACTTGTTTTTACCAAGTTTATGTGGACTTCTGATGGGCTCATGAAAATTTGTCTTCTTTTTTGCTTCATTTTCAAGAAAATTTGAATACTCCCAGTGCCTCTTGATTTAGTTTGTTTGGAAGATTATGAACCTTTAATTGATAGGTTTGGTTTGACACTTAGAAACAAAAAGAAAAACCAATGTGTAGACAAATTAAACCAATGTGTAGACCAATTAAAATCGTGTTCAATGTTTAAGGATTCAGAATGGAAAGAGTGCCCGTCTCGGAGAACTTTTGAATTTATATTCCAATGTTTCTGTCGTAGTTGAGTGTGTATGGTGGATCTGCTTGGGAGTATGATGAAGAGCGCAAGGAGTGCTACTATCACACATACCTGAAGGAAGAGCCAGACCTCAACCTTGCAAACCCAGATGTGTTGAAGGAAATGGATGTAAGTATCATTGAAGAAAACTTGTTCCCCCTTACAGACTGTAAAACAAAAAAACTGCAACCTTCCCATTTTGTCATACAATTGTCTAATACAATAATGATGAACTTATATAAATGATAGTATTAAGAACAAATATCAGTGCAAGAATATTGTTCATGTCAACCTGTCTGACAGATATGTTGCAGCAAGCTTAGCATATTCTTGTTCATGTTCCTTACAAAAGAATTTGAAGTTTCTTAAGGGGAAACTTTATCATCATAAATCTGTCCATTCTTAAGGTAACAAAGTTAATAAAACTGCAGGATAAAAGAAATTTTATCTAATGTGGGCAGAAATGATTTTAATTGGTTTTATGATTTCAGGCTATCCTGCGCTTTTGGTTGGACTTGGGAGTGGATGGATTCAATGTCATTGGAGCACAACACTTGGTAGAGTCCAATAACACTGCTAACGAAACATTGAGTGGTCTTCCTGTGGCTGCTGTAAGTTTACATTATTACTGTATAACTTCTGTGGATTTTTTTTTTTTTTTTTTTTTTCAAAGGCTCGGTTCAATTCTAAGTGCTTTTGAATTAGATTCTGATAGACTTTGGTTATACTCTGTTCCTTCTTTTTCCAGACTGATTATGCATATTTGGACCATACTCTCACACGCAACCAACCAGAGTCTATTGCCCTCATTAATAGGTGGAGATCTGTTGCTGATAGCTATGCTACAAAACCAGGAAAGGAAAAGTAAGTTGACAATTTTTGCAGTATTACACCATCAGAACTATGGAGTAACAGTTTGATTAAAATATCAATATATCATAGAATGAATTAATTACTTGTGTTATTATTTATTGATGTTTTTTTTTTTTTTAATTAGGATGTTGATGGTAGCAGCATCAGGAACCATGAATGAAACTAGCTTATATTATGGCACATCTGACAAGAAGGGGGCTAACTTCGTTCTTACATCTCCTGTTGACTTCTCAAGATCTGTCACAGCATATGAAATAGAGTTGAGGGTCCGCGAGTTTATCGAGGCTGGCCAAGTCAAAAGGGCATGGTCTGTAAGTAGCATCTTGTCATGTTCAGGTGATCAGAAAACATGCATAGTTACCTTTGTATGATATACACGGGTAATGTTTGGGATTTATTTGAAAACAATTTCAGATGGTCTATTTTGCCAGACCACCTAGTGGCCTTGTTCCTCTGTGTAGTTTGCATTTCTGAAACAACCATATTTAGCCTAAGAAAAATATTTATAGGAAAGTGAAAGATGTTTTTTACCTTAAAAATATGCACAAATTTGCACATTGCTCAACTTTGGGTAGGTTGACATTTACAGAAGACTTAAATTTTTGTTCAAATCTGCATAACATACTTGTACAAACAGTTATGTGTTTGTTTGATATGTAAGAGACCATGTGTCCGATTAACCTTTTTCATGGAAATGACAAAATCTTATTCAATTTTCAGTATGGGAACCAAGACGAGTCTCGTCTAGCCACAAAGGCTGGGAGGAAGATGGTAAAGGCCATGTTTGCCCTCCAGATGTTGTTGCCTGGCATACCAGTAAACTACTATGGCAATGAAATTGGTATGGAGAATGGCAACATCCCTTACCAAGACAGACAGGACTTCCTTATGAAAGATGTATCATTGGTACGGCTTTTAGTAGAGTTTTTCTCTTGCCACTCCTAACTTTATTAGAGAACATGTTAGAAATATTTCAGTACTCAATTTTCAAATTCTGTTGAAAACAACCCTGGTATTTTATTATTATAGTACACTCAATTTAGGGAATTAACGACATACATGTACCAGTGTACTGCTATACACAAAAATAAATGTATTATATTTCTATAAACAAGATATACTGTACATTGCAATATCACATTTTCAGAGTAAAGGGATTTTGAATTAGAAAAACCTAAACTAAACTTGATTTGGCCCTGCATGGGTTTTCAACTTGGACAGTTGAAACAATGAAGTGTTTGTGAGACCATGAATGCACTGGTGAAATATTATTTTTGAGACCATGTAATTCTTAAGAGAAGATAGTGTTCAGTTTTTAACCTCATTTATCAATATATATTCTGGTTGCCTAATGGGGTCTAAGATTTTTTTTTTCAAAGTTGGATTGCAAGGTGTTGAAATACTATTTTCTTATGGTTAAAGGCTACTTACTGAGAGTTGACATATCGATGATATTGTTTTTTTAATTTTAGGTTAATTATGATCAGAGCAAGAGCAGAGACCCCTTCCGCACACCTATGCAGTGGACTAGTGGCCTGAATGCTGGTTTCTCTGAAAACAAACCATGGCTGCCAGTCAATTCTAATTCAGTTGATACAGTCAATGTAGAGGTAAGTGTGTCAATTATAGGAAAAACTGCTGCAACTGGTTTTTACTAAAATCAGGTGTTGGAAAATAATTTCTTATTGGTAAATGAGAACACAGTTTCATAACTGAGAGTTTTCTGTCCACTGAATTAGAAAGTGACTTCCTGTTCATATTTTAACCAATTATGATTACATTTTTTGTGTTTTATTAACCCAGGTTCACTACTATAGCAGTATACTGTAGATGAACCAATGTTTTTTTAGGAACTTACAATGATGAAAGAATAACATCAAATTGCAATATCAATTATCTTTAAAAAAGAAGTGTTTGGGGTTTTTTCCAGACTGAAAATGCATACTTCAGTGACAGAAACATGGATGAGACTCAGCTGTATGCATTCAGAAATTTGTCAGGAATCCGAGAGAAGGAATCTTTCCAGTGGGGCAAGACTACCATAGGAACTGTACAAGACAGTCTGTGGTTCAAACGTCATGCTGAAGGATTCCCAGGCTTTGTTGTTCTTATCAACCTTGGCTCCTCGAGCCAGACGGTGAAGATGAACAAGGTTGCAAGTGTGCCAGCACAGGTGGAACTTGTCTTCCACTCCCAGTACAAGATCACAGAGATGGAAAAGAACCTTGACTTCAATGAGAAGTCTGTTTCCATAAATCCTGGCCAAGTCCTTGTTTTCCAATTCGAATAGATTATAAAAGACTGAAGCTTGTGTCAATTTTTTATCAAAATTTTGAATTTAACTGTGTGATATAAATAAATGATATGGATAAATTTTAAAGTACGGAAAATTAATGAAAACTTGCATAAATGAATCTCGCATTTTAATGTTGTAACTCTATACATCAGACCTTGAAGAGAGCTTTGTGTTTTCAATATGATAAGGTACATTTGCATTGAGAAATCAAAATACTTGGTCTTTAATAGTAATCTTAAACTGTTTGATTTGAAATTGACATGTGCTTTTGATCATTTACCCCTAACACTTTCCTTATCCGGTTAAGAAATAAATACACTGACTGCATGATAACCCTGCAGGGAAGGAAAGGTCGGTTGTATCTTTGCTATCAGCACAAAAATAATTCCTAAATTTTGAACCATAACCTGTCAAACAGAACATGTAGTTATGGATGCACACATTTGGTTATTGAAATGAAAATGAAATCCAGTTAAATAAAATTATTAACATCTAATATATTGTTTGTTTTTTATACACGAATATTGACATGTTATTCACCACTTAAAATTGCTGTTGACGATGACATCAACATTATGAAATATACTGGTTAGTTAAGGTGGACAATGACCTGTTTGAGACAAGTAGTGATATTTCCAAATTTTGTTAACCAACCATGAGCTGTTGACAGCTAGTGAAGGTCCTGTCTATTCTTGTTAAAGATAGCAATTCATGCGAACCTTGTTTTTAACCAACTTTGAGTCCAAGTGGAATTGCTGTCTGTATTATCTATTTAGGAGTACCATTTGGATAGTTTCATATTCTGTCCACGAACTATGACCCAATGACAGTAAAGTTCCTGTCAGTATTTCGCCCGTCACCAGAAATATCTATCACACTGAGAGTGTTGCAGCACAGAATACATTATCATATATGCATTGTTGTCTTGGTCTGAGTGCAGGCACTATCAGACCGAAAATTTCTGTCTCTAAAATGTTATTTTAATTTGTAAAATCACAATCCTGTAACTGATATTTAAATTTTTACTGATCGTTGGGATACCGATAATCATGGTCTTTGATATATGCCAGATTACTTCATTTTGAGGCCGAAGTTTTGTTTTGTAAAACTGATAACAGTTTAATTAAAAGGGGACAATGATACTCTCAGTAATTCGGAATGTCACCTTTGTAAAAAGGCATATTCGAGTTCGAACAAATATTTCGATATCTATTTAATGGATAAATTTTATTCAAAATGCTCTGAAAATTGTGAAGAAACAATTATTAATATAGGTGTAATATAGGAGCAAGAAACAAAATTAAGCTACGATTAACTGATGAAGTTGTCTATAGTAGCACTATCCTTGCTTAGTTACCACACGTTCATCCTCGTTGAATTCCCTCTCGTTGTTATACAGTGGGTAAAGTTGTTGAATATAAAAAAAATGTCCGAATTCTGCTAACACCGTCTCCTAATGACATAAATTTATGAGGTGATTTAGAAGGAAGACCAAAAGCGAGATACAGTGAACCCAAAAGTAGACAAAGTTCATGATTTATTTCTAAATACCAGGCGATTTCAAAAGAATCTTAAGTACACTGTACTTAGCTCATTTCTTAATTGACTGAAAAAGGTGTTATTTACTTGTGTGTCTTCTGTACCTTTTTGAGATGGCAGCTCCTCAAGATTTGTCGGAACATTAATGCCACGTTAGAATTCATAAGGATAGTGGTTCGATTCAGAATTTACATATGTACATGTAGTTTACATCTATGGTCCTCTGAATAGGGACCTTAAATTATTTTCAAAAGTCAGATGTTGAATGTCAATGACGTAAACTGTTCACGTATTGTGAAAACATTGAATACCAGGTGAGCGTTGCAGGCCCGTTTGACCTCTTGTTCAGTTTTTAAAAAAGGACGTCAAGTACCCATGTCTATATATAAAAAGAAACCCGTGGTATTCAGGTAACGACAAACCTCGTGAACAAAGTCCAGTAACACAGCTTAACCCCTGCGATAAATAGTACAACGTTACGTTATCGTTAGTATTCTTTGCAACGAAAAAAAATGTGGATATTTAATTGTCGCGGAAAAGGTGAAATTTATAGAAAATGAGTAACAGCTGTTTATTACATCAATATGATTATTAAATGTACATTTTTCGGTCGACCAGATAACGTATTGTTATACAAAGCCTTAAAAAAGAATACTAAATAGGAATGGCATACGGTATAGGGGTTCTTATTCTTTATAGAGTGGATTAGAATATGAATTATCGCCATACCGTTTAAAGGTGCAAAATTATAATCCCCACTTGTTATAGTGTACTGGTTGGATTAAAACCGGATTAAGGAATTCTGCTATTGTGTGCTTTATTTCATTTCGAAATATAAACTAACACTGGCACTGCTGTAATGCCATCATATAAGTCAATATATACAACACTAATCTTTTTCTACAATAGCAACGGATCAAGTCTCGTCATTACAACCGTTCGTTTGGAAAGTGAGTATGTTCCTATGTAAGTGAATTGGCAATGGCTGTATAGTATATTCGATGGATGTGCGAGAAATGTGCGGAATATAACCAAATCAGTTGAGAAATAACACACAGTACTGAGAGACTAATGTAATACGGACAAAATGTTAGCCACTGAGCAAAGAACTCCCTACCAGATCATGATGACGTTGAAGGCACGATCGTGTATACAGGATATGAAACTCCAGAAAATGGTTACCGAGTTGGATATGTCCAAACATACCAAAAGTTTCCCTACCGTCTCCATGTTTGATTCAAATAAGTCGGTCAACTTGTTTCCTTCTTTTGCCATACGCCGAGAAAAAACCATTGGAGAAATAAATTGTGCAAAATATACATGGAAAGAAAAAGAAAATATGGTGAAAAAATTGGAACTTGCAAAAACTGAAAAGGTTCGTAAGTCAATGTTTGCTGTGTCTGGTTCTCGTATTAATAAAGATAATGTTGACGAGAAAAGGCCTCCTAAAGTGTGGTCTCTTGCAGTGTCTAGAACTTTACCCAATATCAACCAATGTATGACACCAGTGCCTCCAAAGTCTTCAATCAAACGTATGTTCACCAAGAAAGAATTGCAGGAAAGACCAGTTCCTAAACCGAAGGTTGTCAAGGTTCCACTCACTCCACTTAATACCCAACGAACTCCGCGTAGGGCGAGGGATACCCCTCACAACTCGGTCACGCATGCATGTCAGGATGATGACAGTCCGGCCGAAGTTGAGAGCGAGCCCAAACAAGACGTGCTACTGCCACAGATTCCCTCCCCGAACATGAAGGACAAAACCACAACGACAGCAGACATTGGTGATTCGGTTGAGGAGTTACAGGAGTCACCAGTCAAAGAGTTCAACGCCTCGCACGAGTTATTTAACTCCCGAGCTTTGATGAGCAGGGGAGGTCGGAGGCCACAGACACAACCTAAGATGTTCCCTAATCTTGGTCGGTCAAAAGAACTCAAAGAGCTCATGGACCTTCCACCAAAAACCGCTGGGTCAGATGTTCTGCCGAGAATTATGGCTAGTAGAGAACGCAGTCGCTCCGTGAAGAATAAGTGCCGTCAACTACCAACGCCTTTCAAGATACCACATAACGCATTTACTAACGTGTGTACATCCAGCATCAAGTAAACCAGTCTTTTTGTTAAACTCTCACATATTGGGAACTGCCTGGAGTCATCGGTGTGTTTTCATCGACTTTTAATGCATTCTTATCAGAATATTCCTTATCCAAGATGTATCTCCTAAAATACGTATTCGTGGCATAGTAGTCTTCTTTGACCGTTATATATGACGAGACGTTACTTGGAAATTCTTGTTCCGTCCTGGAGTGTTTGCTGCTTTTACGCGATCCCAATTTTATGAATATTGCTGGAGTGTTGCTAACTGCAGTCACGTGATCTCCACATCTGTGAATATTTCTGGAGGGTTGTTTGCTGCTGTCAAGTGATTTCAATTTCTTTTGTGGAGATTTGTTTACTGCTGAAACGCGATCTTCATTTCTGTGAACATTCCTAGAGGAGTCTTTGCTGCTATCACGTGATCTCCTTATCTTTAAACATTTCTGTACTATTTGTTCGCTGTTGTAACCCGACTACCATACATATATGAACACATGCGCGGGATTCTTGGCAATTGCTAGTCACATTACCTCCCTTTTTATGACATTCCCGGGAGAAATTTGGTTGTGTTTGTGGATGATTGAGTCAAGTGAAATTTCTTGGGAGATTTTTCTGCCGTCATTTAATCTCCCTCTTCATGCATCTCATTTTCGTTAAGAATTCTGAAAGAATACTATAGTACAGGACAATGACCCGTTTTCCGTGAACATTCTTTGTAGATCGTTTGTCCGAAGGGGCAGCATTACGGCTTCATAGTCATCGGTATAAGGTATGTTATAGTATTAGGGACAACAGGCGTTACAGAGCTTGGCCAGTTCTCCTTGTCTCATTACATTTCAGGTACGATAGTGTTAATGATGTATTGTATCTTCATAACTCAAAGCAGATTTTCACGACTAGTATTTGCAATTACTACTGTCATAATTGACCACTATTACATTTGTTTGTTCGTTACTTTGTTTACTAGATTGCTCGTTGTGCGAACAGCCAATGTCATTTTAATCTCTCTGTAGTAGTTGATTACTTTCTTACTGAACAATATACGGGAGGTCCGTCACAAGACAAGGGGAGCATTGAACCACTCTCCGCGTATTTTCATCTGTTGTAACGTATACCAACCCTCTTTCGACCAGCTAGCTCTCAGCTATCGAGAACATGTATGCGAAACTTCATACCAGCTGTATCTAAAGTGATTATGCTCAAAATCAAGTTTGTAGTAAAACCAATGTAATAGCTGATCTGAAGTACCAAATATATTTCCACTGACAGCGTCCACAATGGAAAAAGTCGTCACGAAAACAAGCACAAACTATTGTTTAACATTCAACGTGAATCCTATTTCGTTTGATGTAAAGGGCGCTACGGATGTATTGTTATCGATGACTTGTAACAGTACTATATTGGCATCATTAACATTTACAGGTCGTGAAAACTGCTATGATCTTTTCCAATAAAACACGAACGCTGCGGTCTGACGGTCAGCCTCACAGCTGGCATTATGTTTGACATTGTCGTGGTCGGAACGCTAGCAAACATGGCTAACCAAGTTTGAATTTTGAAAAGTAGTGCAACAAATGAGCACTACAAGCTAGTTGCGTTTCGAACATGGTATTTTCGACCCATTGTGACTGCATATATTGGCATCGTCACTATGGGTATATCATTTACTAACTTATATTTCGGCAACTAGTCCCAACCATACCACGATAACATAACTAGTACTACGGTAACTATCGAAACACGACCTGGGGTCATAACTGCATAAAGAATGTGGTACACTGTTACCTCACTTTCGGAAAATTCTTTAAAACATTGTGTTACATATGTGAAATTCGGACTCACAGGCTTGTTGCTTTTACGTTACTTGTTTAAATTAACATCAAAGCTACAAGGATGGAGGACTGTACAAGTATTGTGTGCAAACGTTTACACATACTGATGTAGATAAAACCACAAGTTAACGTCTGATTTACCACTAAAGGGACATCAGTGTTTGATAAAGGAAGCTATCGGCTAGTGACTTTTGGTTACAATGACGGAGGTTCGTTTTCAGCATTTGTTTAGATTGCATTTTAAATCTTTAATTAAAATGTTTTAAAACAGAAAAATGTGTTAGTTTTTAAAAGACAGGCTAAGTGGATCACATTTAACCTGTTAATGTAACGGGTTTATAAATAGTCTACCTGTCAGTATAACAAGGTTATATACAGTAAAGGTCATGACTAGGTCACGTCTACCTGTTAGTATAACAAGGTTATGTACAGTAAAGGTCATGACTAGGTCACGTCTACCTGTCAGTATAACAAGGTTATATACAGTAAAGGTCATGACTAGGTCACGTCTACCTGTCAGTATAACAAGGTTATATACAGTAAAGGTCATGACTAGGTCACGTCTACCTGTCAGTATAACAAGGTTATATACAGTAAAGGTCATGACTAGGTCACGTCTACCTGTCAGTATAACAAGGTTATATACAGTAAAGGTCATGACTAGGTCACGTCTACCCGTCAGTATAACAAGGTTATATACAGTAAAGGTCATGACTAGGTCACGTCTACCCGTCAGTATAACAAGGTTATATACAGTAAAGGTCATGACTAGGTCACGTTTACCTGTCAGTATAACAAGGTTATATACAGTAAAGGTCATGACTAGGTCACGTCTACCTGTCAGTATAACAAGGTTATATACAGTAAATGTCCTGACTAGGTCACGTTTACCTGTTAGTATAACAAGGTTATATACAGCAAAGGTCATGAATAGGTCACCTTTTACCTACGTTAGTATAACAAGGTTATATATAGTAAAGGTCAAGACTGGGTCATGTTTAACCTACGTTAGTATAACAAGGTTATATATAGTAAAGGTCATGACTGGGTCACGTTTTACCTACGTTAGTATAACAAGGTTATATACAGTAAATGTCCTGACTAGGTCACGTTTACCTGTTAGTGTAACAAGGTTATATACAGCAAAGGTCATGAATAGGTCACCTTTTACCTACGTTAGTATAACAAGGTTATATATAGTAAAGGTCAAGACTGGGTCATGTTTAACCTACGTTAGTATAACAAGGTTATATATAGTAAAGGTCATGACTGGGTCACGTTTTACCTACGTTAGTATAACAAGGTTATATATAGTAAAGGTCAAGACTGGGTCATGTTTTACCTACGTTAGTATAACAAGGTTATATATAGTAAAGGTCATGACTGGGGCACGTTTTACCTACGTTAGTATAACAAGGTTATATATAGTAAATGTCATGACTGGGCCACGTTAACCAAGTTGTTATAACTGGGTTATGTAAGCTATCACTTGGTTTCCTTTATCTACATATGGTGTTGGTCATGGCCTGTTCCAATAAGTTCACTCATGTCTTTAGTATTACATGTATATCTTCAACACTCTTAGCATCACTGACTGAAGAACCTCTGAGAGATGGAACATCTGTACGATATAGTTTACTTCATTAATTTGCTATGAAGTACATTAGTCCTTTGAAAATAAGATCAATTTATCCTGATCAGTTCTCACTTTCATTTCACTGAACCCATCTTCCTATCCTTTTGTTCTGATGGGCTCTAACTTTCTATCAACTAAAATGTGACCCAGCAGTCCTGACAGGTTCGGACTTTCTATCAACTAAAGTGTGATCCATTTGTTCTGATGGGCTCTAACTTTCTATCAACCGAAGTATGTGACCCAGCAGGCCTGATAGGTTCGGACTTTCTATCAACTGAAGTGTGATCCATTTGTTCTGATGGGCTCTAACTTTCTATCAACCGAAGTATGTGACCCAGCAGTCCTGATAGGTTCGGACTTTCTATCAACTAAAGTGTGACCCATTTGTCCTGATGGGTTCCGACTTTCTTTCCACCACAGTATGTAATCTGTTAGTCCTGATGGGTTCCACCTTTCTTTCCACTACAGTATGTAATCTGTTAGTCCTGATGGGTTCCGACTTTCTTTCCACTACAGTATGTAATCTCTTAGTCCTGATGGGTTCCAACTTTCTTTCCACTACAGTGTGTAATCTGTTAGTCCTGATGGGTTCCGACTTTCTTTCCACTACAGTATGTAATCTGTTAGTCCTGATGGGTTCAGACTTTCTTTCCACTACAGTGTGTAATCTGTTAGTCCTGATGGGTTCCGACATTCTTTCCACTACAGTATGTAATCTGTTAGTCCTGACAGGTTCTGACTTTCTTTCCACTACAGTATGTAATCTGTTAGTCCTGACGGGTTCTGACTTTCTTTCCACTACATTATGTGATTCATTAATCAATTAAACTGTTACAGTGTAGCCTGAACTGCTTTCTGAACTTTTTATCTGCATCCATTTTCATTATCTTATCTTATTTTGTTATTTCATAACAAATATATTTTTTAAACATGTTAATTACACGCTTTTCTAAGATGACTGACAATAAAAATAAAAAAGAACAATAGAGAACCAGCTTATATAATAATGAATATTAGACAATGATTGAATTTCTTATAGAAATAAATAATGGACAGATCATATTTCTATGTGATCTTTTCCTAATGTGGCCAGATAATAAATAAAACAAAAATCAAATGTCTGTTTGAATCCATGTTCTATTGTTCCATCATGTAAAATTTCATAGAACACTACAACATCTCAGTTTGCAACAATAAGATCTATTGCTCGTTCCTTATGAAATACATTTAAATTTCTCAAAACCACAACTGCATATTGCTAGTACCAAATCACTATCTTTAATTAAATTATCAATTACCCAGCCGTGTTGTCAAAAACCTAGCTGTGCTGTCAATGACCCAGCTTTCTTATCAATAACTCAGTTGTCAGCCCAGCTTTCTAATTCAATAACCCAGCTTTATTGTCAATAACCCCTTTGCATTATCAATAACCCAGCAGTGGTGTTCATTACCCAAGCATGTTGTCATTAACCTGGTGGTGCTGTTAATAATCCAACTGCATTACCAAACTGTGTTGTTAATAATCTAGCTCTTTTTTCAACAACTCTGCTTTGTTGTCAGAAACCCAGCAGTGTTGTCATCTTTTTCCAACAACCCTGCTTTGTTGTCAGAAACCCAGCAGTGTTGTCATCTTTTTCCAACAACCCTGCTTTGTTGTCAGAAACCCAGCAGTGTTGTCAATAACCAAGCCCTGCTGGCAACAACCTAACTGTAATGTCAACAACCAAACCAATTAACCCAGTTGTGCTGTCAATAGCCCATATGTGTTGTCAAAATCCTAGCAGAATTGTAAATATCCAGCTCTCTTTTCAACAACCCAGCTGTATTGTCAATAACTTAGGTAAGTTATCAATAACCCAATTGTGTTTTCAATGACCTAGCTGCATCCTTTCAAGTTCTGCACCGTCAACCTTAAATCATGGTCTGCACTTATAACAACACTGTCATGGTCATTAACAGTAACAAAGTTCCATGAAACACACATCATTCATTGAAACAGGTTAATGGAAATAGATTTTTGAGCAGGACACATATTTAAAACTGTCATGTTCCAGATCATAGTATAATCAATTATCAATTTTCTTGAAAAAACACCTGTATCATGTCATATATATAGCAATATTTGGTTTAATTATCAGTAGCATAACTTCAGTGTTAAAATATTGTAAAAAAAAGGTCTACAAATTCGATCATACTGCTAATAATGATTTATATGAATCATTCAATAATGAAAAAAAAACAAGGAATGAATGGGACAAAAACTGTTTGAGCAGACAGAAGACATATAATTGATGATTATTCACGATTCATTGTGTTCCATGTATATGTAACCCATAATGTTGGTATGTAACCCATTATGTTGGTATGTAACCAGAGTCCTAACTTTACACGGCTTTCTAAGCTTGTGTACTACAATACCTGAAAATCAGAGACCACATATACTCAAAAACTGTTTCTCTTTTCATACTAAATATTGACTGGAATTGCATTACAAACATCCAAAATTATATGAAAGCAATAGGCAAACTTCAGATGCTCGGACAGAAAGGAAAGACATCCATTTTTCTTTACATCAAAATTTACATCCACAGCCTTAGCACTTAATTATGGTCCCTTGGTTTTACAGGTGATATCCACGTGTATGTACACGTTCTAGATGGGCTCCTGAAAAGAAACTGAAGTTCATTCACAGAAGACTTGTGTGTTCTTGAGTTTGATCTTTTAATCCTCCCCTACCTAGAGTTAACAGCATCTGTCACTCCCTCCCAGAGACAACATTTTTGTCCAACCTCACCATAAGCTTACCGTTCATCTTTCCACAACCTTATTCTAACCAGATGTTTTCCATCTTTCTTCTCTATCCCAGCACATGTTTTTTTTATTTATCTCTCCCCAAACACATCACCAATTTAAGAATTACACATTGTCAAGACAATTGTTGTTCACCATCAGAAGTAAATAACATAATGAAGTTGTTGTCCATAGTTCTGAACTGCTAATATGTCCACAATTCAACACTCAGCTATGCCATAGAAGTTCTGCATCAACGAATGGCAATGATACCACTTTCCAAAAGTTTTTCAATCTTCTTGGCTACCTCAGGATTTTTCAAATGTCTGTAAACAGAACATTTCAAATATGATCTTCTTAAGTAATAAAGGACAGCAAAGACATGAGGCCCAGAGGGCATGTATCATTATTTCATTGGATATTTAATATATTCATTAAGTATACAGTATCTTCCTTGTGTAACTTTCTCTGTAAACATGTACAATGAGTGAAAAATCCAGAAATGGAAGGGACTGGTTCCATCTCCACCCAACCAATGATCTGAGATATATACAGAGAATTCAAATATAACAGGTATTAACACAATTAATGAAGGTATATTTGATATAATTGATAATGTGAAGTGTTAAATTTCAACATTTCTAAAGAAAAACAAATTAGCATGGCTTACTCTCTAACGGCTTCTGGCTCTTTCTGCATCTGTTGCAGTATAAGCTGCATGGCTGGATCTGCGAGAATTTGTTGTACCTCAGGGTCAGCCATAGCACGCTTTCTGACGGCCTCAGGATCTCCACCCTCGGCCATCAGCGCCTCTCTATACCCACGGGATGCCTCCTGGTCATTAGGGAAAAAAACAGAGATATTAGATTATAGCCAAAAGAACTAAGACACCATAGAATTTACTTTAACCTCAAAATTTGCAAAGATTAGCAAAGTGTAGGGAGTGACAATGAGATGATGACTGACCTCACCTCAAAACATGAGTTTGTACAATAGTCATATTTACAAGCCTTTCTGTAAATCCAATAGTACCAGAGGGATCCATTTTCATGTTTTTTTCTAAATATTCCTGGGGACTTGAATTTACATATTTATAAAACTCAAGAAACTGTCATCATGTGACAAAATGACAGCAAGTTGCCAACTGTGTTTTTCCATTTGTTAACTATTGTCTACATTTTCATTCACAAAAATACTATTTATACTTACAAGGCCAGTAAATAACAATTTCCTTGAAATTGCTGTCTGGAATACATTATGTACGTGTAGTTTGAATACCTCTAAGTGCTTGTCTTTGTCATTTATTTACAGTTTATTGATTACCAGGTATGAAAATTTGTAGTTTAAGGGTATTCATGTAATCAATGCTAACAGAACCACAACCAAATTTTATGAATATATAAACACTGTTAGATCCCTTTGAACCTTCAACAAATTATAAACTGATAACAGAGATCACAGTATCACTAAGGAATTAACACAAACGTTTAAAGCATAGTGAAATACTATAAGTGTATTAACTTTCCTTGTAGTCAGGCCTAAAAACAAACCAAAAATAAGTGTAACAATTAAGGTCTCGGATGAAGAATTCTGTGTATGGTTACGTGGTATCCATGAATGTTTTACCCTTGAAATGATGTCTTAGGTTTTAACCACAAAAGACAGTACCCACCAACATTTCATGTTATACAGTACATAATGCATCTTTATGCATGTAATTAACATCTAAGTTAAAAAGATAAACAAGATATCAAACAAGGTATTACAATATTAACCAGTGTAGCTGGATAGCACTCACCTCACACTTTGGATCCACTTCGAGTGCCTTTTGATAGGCTGTCGCAGCTTTGCTGAACTCTTTCATTGCCTGCAGAACACCACCCTTTCGCAGGTAGCCCTTCACTAAACCCAAATCAGAGTGTCATTAATTTCAAAATGCTAATCAAAACTGTTTTTAAATTGTATTCATAAAAAAAGTGATTATATCAATGTTATAGAAAATGTTTCACTAAAGACAAGAAATAAGAAGCATATGTAGCTCTACTCATGTCTGCTTTCAGTGCATTGTTTTGCTTCTGACAAAGAAATCATTTACTTAAACAGTACATTAAATATCAAACAAAACCTCAATATCAAATACATCTTCAACTGACATATACATATATTTAAATAAAATTCAGGGTTTCCATAAAGGCTATCATTCCTTTTTATGAAGGGGAGATAACCCAATTAATCTAATAAAATGCCGTTGTGATTATTATTATTTTTTTCCCTGTAAATGGCATATTTCCTTAAATCTACTAAGAAATGACAACATTAAAATGATGGATAAACACATGTACATATCTCTTAGCAGACTGCCATATCTCCCCCTGACTATCACTACATACTTAATGAATGGTACTGTGGCAATTGATGTTGAACTTATCAGTAAGACAAAGAGGTAGTGAAGTCAATAATGCATATTAATCTACAAAGCTAGAGTTACTGTCATCTATTTGGAATTATCGACCTTTCCACATGACTTCACTCTAGTTACTTTCACAAATTGTGCATTCACCAAAGACAAAGAAGACATAATATCACAGATGACAGAAGCTGTTTAAAAATTGTTTTAAAATGTATTTAAGTTTATATGCTTACCGAATGTAGGATCAAGTTTTATACACATTTCTGCATCTTTTAAAGCTAAACTAAATTCCATTAATTTAGTATAACAAGCAGCTCTGTTGCTGTATATCTTAGCATCCTCTGGATTCCGCTTTATTGCCTCATCATAGTGTTTTTTTGCTGTTGGATAATCACCTGGATATGAATAAAAAAATATTTACTGCTAACAATTGAAGTGAACAACAAAATATGTGCTCGCTTCCTTCATAATAATTAACGCTGGTTCACCTAATACAATCTTAAATACAGGGCATCTCGGTGATGTTAATTCAACAGTTTTGTTTTTATAGTTGAAAGCTCTTGAAATCATGCTCTGCACATCCTCAAAGTAGGACTATTATTAATTCTAGGTACCAGGTTTTTTAAAATCTAGAGCAACATCTGTTGTCCAAAAGAAAAGCTCATCCTAATTATGGAAGCTGAAACTGATCCTCACCTTTCTGAAAGAATTGATTGCCTAATGCTTTTGCTTCTAAAGATTTTTCAGGATCTATAAAAGCCAGTCTTTCTCTTTCTTTAATGCGCTTCTCAATCTACAACACGCACAAAAAAAAAATAAACATGAAACAAAACAAAATTAAATAAAACATCATCAGTGTATGAGGTTTTGAACTTGTTTATAAAGGCATTTTATTAAAAGCTTTGGCAGCTATATCTGCATGCCCCCTTTTAAAGAACTCAAGCACTACAGAAACACTTGTTATTGCTAATACAACTAGTAATGTTGTACTGGATGAATGCTGGCACAACATTGGTGTAAACCCTGAGTACAAGGCACACTGATAATATCATATTTGATCAATCACATTCATCTTTTGGTTTTTTAATATTTTATTCATTGTGAAAAGGGAATAACTAAATATTGATACAAGTGAAAATCACTATACAGTAATTACACCTTATGACACATAGTTGATCTGACTGGTTTACACAATTCCAGGAGATCAAATATAGAATCTATCTTGTTGAGTCTCCCTTGCATAGCATTGCATGGTATGGTGTTTGTTTTCACTTGTTCGTGTCTTTTGAGTTATATAGACAAGCCTAGTTGTAGGGATTCTAACAAAAAAAAAAAAAAAAAAGAAAAGAATAACCCACATTCAATTTCACCACTTAGAAAAAAGGCTTTAAGTAGTCATGCTGGAGTAATTAGAAATTTAAAAATGAAATGTACCTCTTGAATACTCTTGGCTACATCTGGTGTTCTGTGTTCTGCAAGAGATTTCTGAAAGTACCTCAATGCATTGGAGTCGTCTTCCTTCTTCAGGTAAGCTTTCCCTATACGTGCTAAGGCTCTGTGAACACAAAAAAATGTGTTTGATTATCAACAGTGAACCTTTCCAAAACCTACCATATACCGACTTGCAGCACATTAGTGAAGTCTGTTGAGAATCACTGTCTGGTGTGATTTCACAATATTCAAATGAATGACCTTGGTGACTTGAAATATACAAACAGAATTGAACTGTTCAGTATAACTTACTTAGCTATCATAGTGTAGTCCACTCTGTTTTCTCGTCCAACATTAACAGCCTCTTCACACACTGCTATACATTTGTCATAGTCCTTTTGTTCAAAGTGTACAGCTGAAATAAGTTTAAATACAAGTCTTTATTTACATTTTAAATAGAGATGACAATTGATGATATTAAAATAGACAAAACATTCTATTTCCAAACACAAATTTAGACTGAATATAATACATGCTGATATGAATACATATGATTAGTTTCTACAATTTTCATGAACATCACTCCATCTCTATCCCACCCCGCTTCTCTCAGTATCTGCTTTCACTGAATGCTTTTCTCATTCTACTCACTTTCCTCTTCATCTGCCGAGACCAAAAGACCGCAATAGCAAATGCAAGGCCTCTTTAATAAATAGAATAACCTTTTTTTCTAAGAAACATCAAGCAATATGTAGTTGCCCCTATGTAAATACACTTTAATGTAGTTATACTAAATCCAAAACAATCCTTAAATATAACAGTAAATAGAGTACCTGCTGAATTGGTTCTAAAGGAAATATTTGTTGGGTCCAATTCAATAGCTGCATCATAATGCATCAGTGCCTCCTCAAATTTCCTACTCTTGTATGCAGCATTACCCGCCTCCTTCTCAGCAAGAGCCTGTAACACAGCCCACGAATGAGTAAACAAAGGGATTTATACTTGTCATCTAAATTTGCTATTAAACACTTGACACAAAACAAATAGGCATGTTTTGTGCTTATATTTTTGTGGACAGAGTGACAACAAAAAGATTGATTGACAACAGAAGATTGAAAACACCTTTAACAAACAATGGAATATGTTGGCTTCCATTTTGTCTGGAGTTTATCAACTTACAAATAATATTGAGACAACTTGTCAAAGAAATTTGGCAGGTAAAGTTTGTACATTGAACAAGGGTATTTGCATCTCTCTGCTTGTAGCATACAAGATCTCGTAATGTTTACTAGTAATATATCAAAAAGGTCTATGTTCACATATGAAATTCAATGGCAAAATAAAACCTATATCCAATGAAGTTAACAGAAAAACAATTCCAGATTTTCGCAACCTAGTTCATATTGAAGAACTTTATATTCAGAATCCATCAATATTTCATTTTTCGTTAAACATGGGTCAATAAAAACCCGATGTTGCAAAAAAACCTTTTGTCAAACGGACAATAAAATTAACTAGAAAGCAAACAGCAAACAAATGAGGTACAAAAAAACGACAAACATAATGACAACCCTGAAATCAAGATGAAAGCAGGCATCACTCCACAGTTCCCCATGCCCCCCCTTGATGGCTACATTATGTAGTATTGTCTACCTGAGCAGCAGAACTGTCAGCACTATTTTGTTCTGAGGTTTTTGATTTGCTATTTGACTGACTAGCATTGTCATCCATTTTTGAAGGACCTTGAGGACTAGCACTAGATTTAGGATCATGTTTAGCATCATCTGAGGTATCCATATCTCCCATCCTGGCCTCCAAATCAAATCCCATGAGAACTCCCAGTGTTGTAATTATGCGTGGATCTTGAAAATTTCTGAAAGTAAAAACAATATGCATCTTGGGTAATTGATAAAATTGAAAAAACTGATTCATGTCAGAAAATGTAAACAACGAACAACAATATCAATCTTTAAAAAAAAGCAAACAATAATGTACAGGAAGACATACAGCGGTGATTTTTTAGACACAGATATCGGAGTCCCGGACTGGTATTTTCCAGTGGAATCACTCAAGTTTTGAGGACCCACTAAATATCGAAGAATTGGGAATCATCAGAATTTTGGAATACCAGTGAGTGTCCTCCACTCACCATAAAAAACTAGCTCCACAAACGCTGGCAATACCCTACAGCCTTATTATAAAGTTGGGTGCAGGGCTGAGATTGTGAAGAACTTCAATAGGCTGTGTAGGTCCATAGGCCCAACATGCCCAGTGAAAATGGTGATCGCTGGTGATATTGTTCTTGAGATAATAAGCGGAATGCAAATTCAAGATTGCTGCAAATCCCGCCATATTGGATATCGGGCGCAACGAAAACAATAAGGTTGTGTAGGTCCATAGACCCAACATGCCCAGCGAAAATGGTGATCGCCAGTGATGTCGTACAAAAATGTACAAGCACATCATATTCCTGTAGACTTTACTTGATCAGACTCCAAAACAAATACAAAATGGGGAACCCCAACATCTACAGATAAGCAGGTAAATCTCAGTCTAAAAAGAAAAACAATGCAGAAAACAAATGTTCCTTTTGTTCTTCATTATAAAGGTCAACAAAGAAATGATGCCATCACAATTCAAAATCATCGATCCTTTAAAAGAGTTACAGATGACAACGATGCAACATGCTACCTTTACAAGTTATTGAGAACTTCAATAAAAGTATCCGAGTTCCCTATAGTTATGTCAAGACTGTGTACTGTACTTGTTTCCTCAACTATAAATACATGACCCTGACCTTCATGCAAAATTCATTTTGGTGGATACTTTATTCAGGACGAGAACTGTCAGGCAGACGACCTCAGAAAAAAAACCCATGAAAACGATGTCTGCTTGTTTTCGTTCATTTGACAACTTTAAGTAAATAAACAACATGATAATTACCATATTTCTTAACACTAATCATGAGATGAACATCAAACAGCACTTGCCAATCTTATACAATTTGGTTTGTATTGGTCAGTGAAGAGAACACACCAGTAATCTTTACGTGTGTAGACACTCAACACTAATTTTAAAGCCAAGATAAAGCATTTTCAAGTGAGGCAAGTTGCTTTACGATAACAAAATCTAGATCATAACCTATTTATTTGCCTTTCATGATTCAAACTATGTGGACAATTGATACAATCTATAATCACACCTACAAGGCACTGAACATGATAAAGTCATTATTTGCTGGCCAAAGAGAGGTATATCAAATTATATATATATATGTCATTAAGTTGAAAACAACTTACTGAAGACTGTTGGGGTTTTGCCTCAGAAGTTCAATCATCATTTTGTAGTCAGGTTGTTTCAGATACTCCCTCGTTTTTGGGTTGGCCTCCAACTTGGCCATCACATCAGGACCAGAGAAAGGGTTGCCAATGGGCTGGCTCCCAGATGGACCTGATTAAAAATCACTACCATTAATACATGTACAGTTATAGCAAAAACCATCAGGACTGCAAAATCTTTACTTCCCCTTTCAGCTCTGTCCATAGCTATACCACACAACATAGTCAAACTCAAGTCAGCTATGACTCTCTGAGCCATACTTATCACCTTAATTGTGAATATTGAGATCACACAATAATTTAATATAAATATAATCCTTTTATTTTGGACTGAAGTGATGACTTAACTATCTTTCCATTATCAATCTATTTTTTTTCAAATGCAGAGGGTTAAATAATTTGTTAAACATTGGGTCAAACAGTATACAAACTCCCAACCATATTATGTATTTCATAGACATAAACAGTAGAATAATAAATTATGTGGTAAAAATTAAGATGTGTTAACTTGTCACTAAATAAAAAAATAAAAAATGCACAGTAAAAAAAAAATCAGTATTATGAAAGTTACCTGTGAGATGGGATTTGGCTTCCTTTAGGTCATCTTTCAACTGTTGATTGTCTGGAACGACTTTGAGTCCTTCCTCATAAACCTCTGCAGCCTCCTGGTAGCGATTTAAGTAGCGCAAGGCTGCCCCCTTCCGTGAATAGCCCTAAAAACATACCATATACATATTCACAAAATCATTTAAATCATCATCTAATGCTGCAATTTAGAAAAATTAAATGGAAATATTTTTTTCAAATATAACAACAAAAAAAAAAAAAAAATCTTAAACTCTTCCATGAATATATTATCAAATCTCACTATCTTTACCAACATACACTAAAAACTACACATTAGGATGTCACTAATATGTTTCTATGCTGATATATATCTCCATCCCAAAAGCCCCTAACCAGTCAGTCTTGACATTATATCACTCTACAGATCCATGTGGGTCATTTTATATTGCAGGTTTTTTGTGCATCACTTACCTTGAACCAATCAGGTTTGATTTCCAATGTCTTATCTGCATCACCAAGTGCTTCTAGGTAGCGAGTAGCCTTAGTCAGTGCTGCTGAACGATTACTGTACAGGACATGGTTGGATGGGTCTAAGGTTATGGCATCTGTATACTTCTGGATGGCTTCATCAAAGTCCCCAACCTCCAATGCTTTATTGCCTTGTAATTTTAGCTCATTCACCTACATTTTTGTAGAAGGGTGAGGATCTTACACAAGGTGGGAAGGGTTAGGTGTGGAGTCATGCAAGCCCACATACAGTTAATAATCATTGTAACAATATTTTAATAACAAAGATTTAAACAGAAAAATCATCAAAAATTGTCAACAAGGAAAAGATCAAAAGCCATGCATAGGATTCCTAAATGTTTACTATACATATGTACATAGTGTGTTACCAATTCTGTAAATCTATGCTACGTTTCCTGAATGATACAATAGCATTTCCTTGTATAATATAGCCATCACAGTGACTGCTGTTTAACATAATGTTTCCTCTAGTGAAAATGATATCATTATTTTAACTGAATAAAAACCCTGGAATATCTTTCAAACTTTGACATGCATGTTTTCCCAATGAATGCAAGCACAGGCTAAAATCTATTTAGATAAAAGACCATATGTTTTCCAAAAACTCATGGAACCAACTTAAGACTGCAACCTCGAGCTATAGTAGACCTACTGTCAATATTCATACAGTCAAACATCTTTGAATGTTTGAATCTGTCAATGTATCAAACATTTTTCCAAGTCCATTATTTTATCCCTAACTCACTCCATATGAATCTAAGTTTTAAAAATCAAACTTTTCGATGTATCAAAGTTTTTTCATGGACTGTTAGCTAGAGTGACACTTTCATCAGCACCACATGACTGCGTGACGTTAGTGCCTTCATTTCTGGACAGAGAATATAATGATATTAACTTGCATTTTTTAAAAATAATTAGTGCATATATAATGTGTATTATTTACTCTTTATAAATAATGACTGTAACACGTGAAATCCACTGTACTGCTGAGATTTGTTTTGTTTACAATCAATCTTTAAAATGATGTACTAGAATGTGCATGTACCTATCATAGCATTGTGATTAACCATTTAGAAAGTGGACTAAACCTATCAGTCTTGATTAACCTCTGGAAAGGTGACCTGCAACTGCCAAAGTCTTGATTAATTACTGAGAAAATGGATTATACCTGCCAGTCATGATAAACCACTGGAAAATTGGCAGCAGCTTCCAGAATCATTATTAACCAATGGGAAAATGGACTATACTGCTGCCAGAGATTTGATTGGCCACTCAGAAAGTGGATTGCATCTGCCAGAGACTTGATTGACCACTCAGAAAGTGCATTGTATTTGCCAAAGATTTAATTGACCACTCAGAAAGTGGATTGTATCTGCCAAAGGTTTAATTGACCACTCAGAAAGTAGACTGTATCTGCCAAAGGTTTAATTGACCACTCAGAAAGTGGATTGTATCTGCCAAAGGTTTAATTGACCACTCAGAAAGTGGATTGTATCTGACCACTCAGAAAGTGCATTGTATTTGCCAAAGATTTAATTGGCTACTGAGTAAGTAGACTGTATCTGCCAGATACTTAATTGACCACTCAGAAAGTGGATTGTATATGCCAAAGATTTAATTGACCACTCAGAAAGTGGATTGTATCTGCCAAAGGTTTAATTGACCACTCAGAAAGTGGATTGTATTTGCCAAAGATTTAATTGACCACTCAGAAAGTGGATTGTATCTGCCAGAGACTTGATTGACCACTCAGAAAGTGAACTGTATCTGCCAGAGTCTTGATTGACCACTCAGAAAGTGGATTGTATATGCCAAAGTTTTAATTGACCACTCAGAGAGTGGACTGTATTTGCCAGATACTTGATTGACCACTGAGATAGTGAACTGTATCTGCAAGTGACTTGATTGGCCACTGGGAAATTGGAATGTATCTGCCAGAGACTGGATTGACCACTGAAAAAGTGGATTGTATCTGCCAGAGACTTTATTAAATACTGGAAAAGTTAATTTTAGCTGCCATAGTCATGATTAACCACTGGTGAAGTGGTCTATAGCTGTTGGGTTTAATTAACAAGTAATGGGAAATATTATACCTACATCATGAGAAATTGTTGTAGAAACATCAATTTTGATGGACACAGTGTAAATGTAGGTATCACAACCTTCAGGAGAAATCTCAAAAGAAAACAAAACCTAGGTTCTTCTTTGAGTTATATCCCTTAGTCTGTACCAAGCAAACTACTATAAAAAACATTTTGCAAAAAGTGTGGATTCTTTTCACAATCCAATGTAGGTCAGTGATTATCATCAGTTGTTGAAAATAACAAATAACACCCACAGGATTGTTTGTATTTTTCTCTATCATTGGAAGTGATTAAGATTTTAAGATTCTCCTACTGTATATGATTCTTCATCCTATACCTTGTGAGTATCCGTATTTGAAATCAAACATAAACGGGGTCTACATTGTTAAAAGTTTATGTACAAAACAATCAATATTGACACCTATGCATTTTCATGCATTAAAGCTCATTGAACTTTGTTCTCGTAACCACTGTCCATTATGTAAGGAATTAATTTGCTCTAACTTGATTCGGGTGGTCATGCTTGGTGAGTAGATGATTTTTTTTTTTGTTTTGTTTCGGCCAACGAGCTTCAACTTCATCACTGAAGATTACCATACTGAAGTCGTTTAGACAATACAAGACAAAAATATATATATATATATAACTCTTCTCTTTATAACTATTTCATAATTCTACTTATGTCTCAAATAGAAACAAAACAATCAGATGGTTTCGTTGCAAGTGTCCAATCTATGCACATTTCAAATCGAAACACGATAAACAAGGGAGCACATGGTTCCGACATGGCTGTACCGGTATGTCGTGGCCAGCTTCAGAGTCTCTTACAAACACTCTGTAATTTATTCTACTAGTAGACGACTAAAAGTACACTACACATAAAATCTATGCAAGTCAACAAGTGGAAAATATTCCATGTAGGTTGTGAACATTGTTTTGGTGAATGTTCAAGCTTACCTTCGCTTTGACATCCGCCATCTTTCATAGAAAGTTCTCGACAAAGTAGAATACAGTTACCTCCCTTACACCACCAGGGATGATGAATTCAAACGATTTTCTCTGATTCCGTTACAGATAGATTTCTATTGAATCTATATCACCGACTCGATTTTACGAACGTTAACGAGCTCTTTAGACCGGTGTTTTACTTGAATTTAAGGAATTTCCTTTTATTTTGTGAAATATTAAAGAAATCTTATCATCTTAGCAAATGAATTCCACAAGGATTTTTAGTTAAGGAAACAAGTTCTGGAATGTTCGTGAAACCGGGACCAGTGGCTTATGTAGTTGATAGGTTTCTTTTACTATATTCTGAAAGATTGAATTTTTGTATCATTTATAAGGTTACCTTGGATGTTGCTATAGATAGTCTACAAGTTTAATAACATGGTTAGATCAATGACTGACGAAAACCAATAGATTGCCTTAACTAACAAGAGTACTGCTAACAGTACAAAAGCTCGCCTCACATTGTTTATCACTTAACCTCAAAAAAGAATTAGGGATGGTTTCACCAACTGGAATATATATCCCAATTAAATGATATTTGAGCAGGAAATAAGGTCTTCCAACACTGGCACCAAAAACTAGAAATTACGTGTAATTGCATTAGATATGACACAGATTTGTTATTCTCAAAAGTGGAAACTCCCGAAAGTAAAAAAAAATACACCCGCAGTAATCCTTAGACCAAATATTAGCAACCTAGTACACTCATAAAGGAATTTACTGATGCCTTGCAACACTTGGACCAAAATCTTCATATTAGATTAGACATATAAAGTCTTAGTCCCAAATGCTAAACCATTTCAAAGACATATTCTTACTTTGCTAAGTAATAATTAACTCTCAAAGAAACACTAAAACCATATATCAGTACCTAAGTACACTTATTATGGAACTTACTGAAGCCCTTTAACACTTCCACCAAAATTTTAACTCTTAACAACCAAAACTGAACCCGACACCGGAGATACAACATAAGCTACCCTCGCAAGCTTAAACAAATATTTTTACGTTTTTAGCTTTAGGTGATATTGATGATATATGTCTCTGAGACGTTTGTAGTTTTAGGTGATATTGAGGATATAGGTCTCTGAGACGTTTGTAGTTTTAGGTGATATTGAGGATATAGGTCTCTGAGACGTTTGTAGCTTTAGGTGATATTGAGGATATAGGTCTCTGAGACGTTTGTAGCTTTAGGTGATATTGAGGATATATGTCTCTGAGACGTTTGTAGCTTTAGGTGATATTGAGGATATAGGTTCCAGAGACGTTTGTAGCTTTAGGTGATATTGAGGATATATGTCTCTGAGACGTTTGTAGCTTTAGGTGATATTGAGGATATAGGTTCCAGAGACGTTTGTAGCTTTAGGTGATATTGAGGATATATGTCTCTGAGACGTTTGTAACTTTATGTATTATATGAGGATATAGGTCTCTGAGAAGTTTGTAGCTTTAGGTGATATTGAGGATATATGTCTCTGAGAAGTTTGTAGCTTAAGGTGATATTGAGGGTATAGGTTTATGAGACGTTTGTAGCTTTAGGTGATATTGAGGATACATGTCTGTAAGACGTTTGTAGCTTTAGATAATATTGAGGATATATGTCTCTGAGACGTTTGTAGAGATTTAGGTATTGAGGATATAGGTCTCTGAGACGTTTGTAGCTTTAGGTGATATTGAGGATATAGGTCTCTGAGAAGTTTGTAGCTTAAGGTGATATTGAGGGTATAGGTCTCTGAGACGTTTTTGCTTTAAGTGATATTGAGAATATAGGTCTCTGAGGCGTTTGTTTATAGTTCATGGTTAGTGACGTCGTCAATTTGTCTTGATAGTCGTCACTTCGGATTCATGGCTGCGTAGTTTGGTTGGCAAATAACATGTTCTTTTCATCCGGAATGAACTCGACTAATGCAATATTCTATTAACGAGTGCCATCTGCTGAAATGCAAAAATAATATTGTATAATAACAAATTTTCCCAAGCACGAGGCATATATTACAAAGTAGATGTAACGAGCGCTTACTCGGACGTTTTTTACCTGAGGATAAATCAAGTTCATTGAATAATTATTCTTGCAGTATCACAAATATTGTCGATGATAATACTGATACTCCTATTATTGAGCTAAACATCGAGTTTCTTTAAATCTCATCGGAATAAAACTTCGTAAATATGTTATATCTTGTTGGATATCGGAGTTGTATAGCCCCGGATTGACCATTTGACCATTTTTTGCGAACGGCTAACAAAAAAAAATCAGAGAATTATCTTTTTGGGGTATTTACACATAAATATATACAATAACATTATTTTAAATTCATTTTTATACTAGTGCCAGACTGGCGTAAGTCCAATATATGAGGATAGATAACATGATGTAGAAAACGGAAGCTGTACTGCTTTTTCGTATTAGCAGCATGGTCATAAAGTATACTAGCGAGACAGTCGATATTAACTTTGGGTATCAATGAAGCTAGAATTTATCATGTCAGACAACTCAACTGTGTCACAGAGAAGCATTTCTATCACAGTAAAAGAGGCGAAACACATTTTTGTATTTTTTGTGACATCTCCAGACCGTTTGATAGTTGAGACGAGAAGATTATAAAATAGGGCTGAACCACAAAGCGATTCAAGCAATTCAATATCTTGGGTTAAAAATTGTCTAGGCTATAGACAACATAATGTATTGTGATTAGGTAACTCCTCATCTGATCCATGCTAATTGATACAGTATACAAATGTAGGTGCTGTGGTTAGACAAGGTTCAATATAGCCGAACAGTTCAAATCTTGACGTCTGTCATACTTAATCTAGACAAAGCATTACCCATCCTATAGTGACACTGGGCTAAAGTACACGTATAGTCCGTGTAACAGTGACTTTGACTATCAGTAACCTTGACTATATACACGTATAGTCCGTGTAACAGTGACCTTGACTATATACACGAATAGTCCGTGTAACAGTGACCTTGGCTATATACACGTATAGCCCGTGTAATAGTGACCTTGACTATATACATGTATAGTCCGTGTAATAGTGACCTTGACTAAATACATGTATAGTCCGTGTAACAGTGACCTTGACTCTATACATGTATAGTCCGTGTAACAGTGACTTTGACTATATACACGTATAGTCCGTGTAACAGTGACCTTGACTATATACACGTATAGTGTAACAGTGACCTTGACTATATACACGTATAGTCCGTGTAACAGTGACCTTGACTATATACACGTATAGTCCGTGTAACAGTGACCTTGACTATATACACGTATAGTCCGTGTAACAGTGACTTTGACTGAGATAAACGAATAATTAAAAACTCAAGAAAATACCAACATAGCAATATAATCATAATTCAAATTCAAATTTCAGAAAACCAGGGCAAAATATGAACAGAAGTAAGATTTACGTGGAGACTCCTAAACAAGTACATGGAGAATAAGACCAGGTGTTCCAGAAGAGTAAGCGTCTTCTGTTACATTGACGACACAAGCCATGTAAACCTTGATTAATCCATCTAAGTAATGTCACGTTCTCTAATGAGAGCCAAGTATACAACAACCGAACCAACAGGCAAACTAAATAGCATCAAATACGTCCAGCTTCATGTCACACAGTGAGATATAATATTTCTCAAAGAGATCACTATTGTGACCATAAAACTTCCCTATAATTTTCATCAACTTGTATCTTTTGAATCCTTGTGTTATGTGTTTGTCAGTCAGTTGACGACTTCTTCTATGAAAATCGTAATAATGGGAACATACCCTTGAATACCAAATCAACTTCCATAGGTTGGAGATGCAGGGATATTGCTATCCAGAAATGGATAATTCACAATAGGGAAATTGAGATCATCACGTTTATCATACAGCTTGATGGAAAGCTGTCAATGTTGGGTTCGTTGCAGGGAAAGATCGAGATAAGTTTAACTGATGTAGAAGAGTCTGTCGTGGCTTTGATTTCCAGTTCTGGTGGATATATACGATGGGTGTAGTCAATAAATTTCTTGTTATTTAAAGACAAGACGTCATCGATATATCTGAAGGTGAAAGTAATCGACTTTGTAAGGTCTTTGTGATCTGTCTTGATAAGCTCTTCAGTAAATTCAGCCTCGTATGAAATCAAAAACAAGTCAACCAACAGAGGGAATAGTCTGTTGGCAGATCTTACCGCCAAACTCAACGAAGATGTTGGTATCCAGAAACTCCATCTTTTTATGAATTCGTTTTCCGTATATGTCCTCTTTGATTTGGACTTATTTTGTACAAAATACGCTTTAGTATAGTTCACAATCATATCTTGATATCGCCGTTCATCTTTCCCGGAGAAGAAATCTCTCATAACAAGAGAACGAAGGCGTTCGTTCAGTTTACAATGGGGTATGCTCTTATAGAAGAAATGTTTTTTTTAGAAGAGTGTGTTGAAGATTGGTCAGAAGGTCTTTTGGGTTCTTCAAAACCCACATACATGTACTATCAATTCCATTTCTTGATTAAACAGTATCACAATAAGACTGTAACCCAGATTTAATGGTAATTAGAATGGTAGTTAGTATTTTAGACAAAGGCTTGGTTGAACAGTTAGACGAACCAGTTTATCTTTGTTTACAGCAAGGCGATCTCTTTACTTTTTCCTTGGGATCATCTGTTACCTGATTCTTCAGATGATATTGTGCGTCCTTCATGTTTCAAAATTGATATAAAATAAATAAAATATATCGAAAAACAGTGTAGTTTTAAAAGTGTGGAGTAAGGAAATGTTTCCGTAAATATCTTATTTTTGATATATATAAACGAACTCATTACAATCAAGGACGTATAGTATGTATCATGCTTCCATGTTAAAATTGCTTCCTGTTTTTTTTATTATTATTACAATGGGTTGTTCTCAAGCATTTTTATATAAAAACCACTGCTGAAATTGGTGTAATTCTTCTGTAACTTCTACAGAATCCTCTC